GAGTGCTGGGCCAGAGATGGGGGCGCTGTGCTCTGAAGAGCAAACTTACAAAGTCGTCTTGACCAGGAGTCTCAGTTATGCCTCCTGCAAAATGGGCTGTCCTCCACGATGGGGGGCTGGGGAACCCCCCATCGGGGGCTCGGCCTGGAAGATGGCTGCGTCCGCGCACCGTGGGAGCAGGAGACAGGTGCACTCCCGGCTCCGAGTGCCCTGTGCGATGACCTTCTGGCTGCCCGCAGCAAGGCGTCTTCCCCGTACGTTTCCAGAGAGGGCTGGCAGTCTGTATGGTTTGCTAGGGCACAGCCCAATGGCTCTGAGTGCTGGAGGACAGGGAGGCGAGTTCACCAGCAAGCCGCAAGCTCCCTCCTCCCCACTTAAGGACAGGGTATAAAAGGCACAAGGACGCTCCTTCACTCTCCAGGGTGATGGACCAGAAATCCCCTGCACAGGCTTGGCTGTGTGATAGAGTCCCAGGCACCCTCACCCCCACCCACAACCTCCGTCCATCCAGGGCCACTAGCAGCCTCCGCAGCATCTCTGTGCACATTAGAAACCGGCAGCCCTCCCTCTGAGTAGCCACAGCCTGTGTGCACGACTTGACGGGCAGGGCACAAGGCGGATGGCAGCCTCAACTCGCCCCCAAAAGCCCAACCTGCACAGCCTTTCGCAGGGGCCTGTTCCCTGGGGGCAGGACACTCTGACTGCTGAAGTTTTCAGCTCTGGGGCGGAGGGCTAAATAAGCAGGCTGACAATGTGACAATGGTTTGAGCGTTGCATTTAAGAGGGAATAAAGGGGCGTGAAGAACCCTCTGGTGGGTTTCTTGTCTTCACGACAAGAATCCAAGTACGGCTGCCCCATAAGGAGAGTTGTTTCTGATTTGGAGCAGATCTCAAAACAGGGTTTTTAATTGTTTTTAATCATATGCACCCATCAACAACATATACAAAAATTACAGGGGCCAGCCCCGTGGCCAAGTGGTTAAGTTCACGTGCTCTGCTTTGGGGACCTGGGGTTTCGCTGGTTGAGATCCCGCGTGAGGACACGGCACCGCTCATCAGGCCATGTTTGGGTGGCGTCCCACATAACACAGCCAGAAGGACCTACAGCTAGAATATACAACTATGTACTGGGGAGCTTTGGGGAGAAGAAGAAAAAAAAAAAGATTGGCAACAGATGTTAGCGCAGGTGCCAATCTTTAAAAAAAAAAATTATACACCAAGACCAAGTGGGATTTACCCCAGGAATTCAAGGTTGGTTTAACATTCAAAAATCAATTAATGCAATGTGCCATATTAAGAGAATAAAGGAGAAACCCCATGTGGTCATCTAAAAGGGACAGAAAAAACATATGACAAAGTCTAAAATGTATTCATGATTTAAAAAGTTACAACTCTAATAAAAAGCTTATAAATAAATAAATGAAACCCCTCAGCACCCTAAGGATGGAACTCCCTCAGCCCAATAACGCAAACGGGCCTCAGGGAGCAGGTGGGGTGAGGGATCGCACAACCCTGCACGTTTATTAAAACCCCTCGAGGAGTACACTCGCGATGGGCGCATTTTTTTTTTTTTGAGGAAGATTAGCCCTGAGCTAACTGCTGCCAATCCTCCTCTTTTTGCTGAGGAAGACTGGCCCTGAGCTAACATCCATGCCCATCTTCCTCTACTTTATACGTGGGACACCTACCACAGCATGGCGTGCCAAGGGGTGCCACGTCCACACCCAGGATCCAAACCAGCGAACCCCGGGCTGCCAGAAGTGGAACGTGCATACTTAACCGCTGCGCCACCAGGCTGGCCCCACGATGGGAGCATTTTGTGGGAAAAGAATCACTTCCCAATAGAGCTGCACAAGGAAATCCCTCACCAGCAGTTGAGGGCAGGGGACAGAGAGCTGAGCGGGGGTTCTGGCAGAAACAGGGAGAATCGCTGAGGAAAAGGCAGGCAGCCAAAAACAGAGAGAGGTGAGAGGTCAAAATAATTCACACACTGGACAACCCGGCCTGGGGGAATCAGAAATCTACTCGCCAGAGAAGACTCTTCCTCCAAACGAAGAAGTTTCCAGGCCAAATAAGGCTGCAGCTTTTGCAATGCTCCTGGCACAGAACACAGTTCCTTTTAAGTGCCAGCTTATAACTCGGGCCTAAAGCATCCCAGGGCAGCCTGGTGCCCATCGGCCCACTCTCATCCCTCTGGGCAACGCTCTAAACAAACCCAGGTAAACACAGAACGCGGCTGGCCCGGCTGCCATCCCTGGCCTACCGGCAGGGGTGAGGAGGCGCGCCCTGTGGCTAGGAAGGATGCCCGGTGTGCTCACGTGGAGGGGCAGGGCTCGCCGCACCAGCAACCTCTGCTGGCGGCCGACCGGCTCCGGGGGACCCGGGCGCCCTGGCCTTGGCCCTGAGCAGTAAGGCCGTTTGCTGAACCCGTATGAGGAGCTACGTGTGCCATCTCACGGCATCTCCCCTGCAGCTCTGCGAGATGACAACAAGGACAGCAGACATTTCCTCCGCACTGTTTCAAGGGCCTTGTGAGTCTAAAGCATTTAATCCTCACAACCACCCTGTGAGCTGGGTCCTGGCATTGCCCCATTTTACAGATGAAGAAACAAAGGCACAAGACCGCACAGCCAGCACCGGGTACATGTGGGAATAAACCCCAGGGCTGACAGGCTCTGAAGCTGGGGCTCCCTCCTGTGCCGTTTTTCCCCTCACCCCAAAAGAAAAAGGCAGGGCCCCTCCCCGCCGCCCCTGCAGAGGAGAGGAAGCACGCCCACCCGTAAGGGCGTTCTCACGCCTGGGCTGCCCCTCCAGCAAGGGCTGCAGCCTGCTGGTGACCGGCAGCTCCCACTCGCGGGCCGGGAAGATGTTTGCTTGGTGCATTTGTCCCTCATGGGGCTCCCCTGTCCAGGCCAAACTGCAGGGCATTTCTCAAGCAACCAGTGACAAACATTTTCCTAACAAGGTCTCTCTGGGATGAGAAATGGAAACTTTTCGTGCTGCAATGGTCAACTCGGACATTTTAATGATGCGTCAAAACCAGCTTGAGTGGCGGTCAGTCGGGGGGTGCGGAGGATGCACCGTGCAGGAGCAGGTGGGCGCAGTGACCACAGGCAAACGTCATTGGTCCTGACCCGGCCCAGGCCTCGCCAACACACGGCGCTGCTCGCTGCTCATCCCGCGGACTCCTCCGCCGGTGGGGCGGAGGCTGGTCTCGATGCTGCTACAGCCGGGCAGACGGGCTCGGGGAGGGGCCACTCGCTGCAGCCACGTTTGACAGAGTCCGCATTCAGATCAGGGCCTTCTCGTTCCAGAGGCTCCCCAGCACCCCGGCCCACGCTGCGTCGCCTTCCTTCCTCTGCTTCAAGTTCTTCCTGGCAGACGGCCCACGGGAATAGGACGTGGATGGAGGTATGGGGCCTGCTCCTTCTCTGATGAGCAGAGGTGCGCCGATTCAGCACTGCCTCCATGCTAGGACTGGGGATACACGTAAGATATACAGACATGGGCACAACTGGACCAGCAAAGACCCTTTTAGCTGCAAGCAACAGACACCCAAGGCAGACTTTCTTTAGCTAAAAAAGAGGATTTTTTAGTTCAAGACACTGGGAATAATGGGGTGGGGACCAGGTGTGGCTGGATCCAGGTGCTCAAACAATGTGATCAGGTTATTCTCCTGCCCCTATTTTTGGCTCTGTTTCTCTGTTGGCCTCCTTCTCTCCTGCAGACAGGCTTCCTCTAGGAGTTAGAGAGGGTGGCTGCCAGCCACCCCCAGAAAAGAAGAGCCAACATCATTCTTTCAGCATCTGTGTGTAGACCCCAGGGTGGAGCCCAGATGAGCCTTCTTTGGATCATCCCTGGCTCAGCCCTGAACCTGGCCACAGAGCTCTGACTGATCCAGCCGAGGACACGGAGCCTCCCTGTGGCTACAGGATTGAGGCTCATCACCAGAGACACAGCAAGCCTCCTCAACAGGCAAAACGGCTGCCACATGCCCCTCAACAACCGAGACAACGCGTCAGACACAGACGTCTCATCCCCTCGTAAGCACCGAGATCGTGCTGACGTGAGTCATCGGATGGATTGTGTGGGGCACCTAAACACACAACGTGAGGGGGTCCCGGTCCCTCCCCATCCTGAACATGTAAGTCCTAAAGCAACCTGACAGGAGCAAGCAAGGAAGGCGTCTACGCAAAGGGGAGGGCGCCCTGGTGGCACAGAGTGGACATGGGCCTGGGCAAGGGACAGGGCGTCCCCACGAGAGAAGGGCACAGAGTGGACATGGGCCTGGGCAGGGGATGGGGCATCCTCATGCAAGTGGCCCAGTGCTGGCAGAGCCGAGTCAAGTGTTGGGCCTGGCAGAGGACCTGCTCCATAAATGCGCTGAATCAACAGCATTTGGGGCCAGTGGCATAAGGACAGGACGACAAGGCTCCTGGGGGAGACTGAGGCTGACACAGACACCCTGAGTGCCTGGTTCAGGGGGCTGAGGCCACAGGGACATCAATGGCACTTAAGGACAGTGGACACAAGGCCTGAGTGAGGAGGGTCAGGAAGGGGGCGGAGGGCATGACGGAAGAAAGGCAAGTGCCGATGGTCAGAGCCCGCACAGCGACGGGGATGGGGACGAGGCAGCCGGACGCGGGGCAGACCCGGCACCCGGGCACCTCCTCTGACGCTGGTGTTTGCTCCTCCTCCGTGGCAGCCTCTGTGGCCCACGCCCCAGCCCCTCCCCTCGCTCTGTCCACAGGGCCAGCCTGTATCTGTCATCAGTTCACAACTCGCGACCAGCCCACGTCAAAGTGCCCTTGTCCTCCCCGCGGTCACTCGCCAGCAGCACGCGCATCCCCCACACGGCCTGTGCCCCACCTTCTTGTTGAAGCATCACTGTCCCTGAGGATGCAGAGCAAACATCGTCCCTGCTCCCAGCCATGTCAGGACAGCACACTGAGCAAAACCGGGAAGAACATCCACTTCAGACACACAACAGATGGACAGACTGGACAGTGTGCATACGTTTTAATTTTTAAATAATTTATCTCCCTTTGAAACAAATAAGACTCGGAGACTACAATAACACCCCCCCGAGGCTCTCTTCAGAAGCGTCGGCAGGGAAGGCCACAGAGCACCTCCAAGAGGGCACTGGGCTGCAAGGGGAGCCGGGCCGGGACCGTCCCCAGGGGGATGCAGGAAGGGCTCACAGGCTGGCAGCCTGCAAACCACAGCCAAGGGCCACGCTCCAGCCCGCTGCCCTACAGCGTCAGGGTGGGGCCACTGCAGCCACCGGGGAGCCACAGACAGACGGGAGGGGCTCAGCGAAGTCACGGTTCTGACAAAGGGCGAGCAGCCGCACGGGACACACGGAGAAGTGGCCAGCGTGCAGGGGCCACCGCCAGGCACATTCTCTGAGCTTGCGAGCGCCCTCTCTCCTCCACACAGGCAGGAAGCTGGCTGGCCCTGGACAGCAGGATGTCACTGTCAGGGAGTTTGCGGCCCGGATGCCTCTGGAGGGGAGTGGACCCTTCCCGACCCTCACGGCAGCTCCCGAGATTGAGACGGTGGATTTCAGTCTTGACAAGGAGGGAGGGAAGAGACTGGGAGACGTCCGAGGCGGGAGTGAGGACGGAGACGCAGTGTGCCCGGGCCTACCCCTCACCAGGCCCCGAGGAAAGGTCAGCTGGCACTGCCAGAGCGCCCGGGCGCCTCCTCCACCAGCGGCCATGCTAGAAAGTCCCCCACAGGGCGTGTCGCCCTGCGAGGCCTGGGTAGAGACAGCATGGGGGGCGGGACTGTCACCCAAGCAGCCACAGGGAGCGGGAGCTCTCGGGCAGCCCTGATCGCCCCCGCCACCCCTGCACAGACAGGCGCCCTGGCGGCCGCGTCCTCTGAAGACGGTCCGTCACTTCTCCCTCTCCTGCCTCTTGCTCTTCCTCTGGCTGGTCAGCTCGCCCAACTTCTTATCCAGCTTCCTCTGCAGCTGGGCCCTCTTGGCTGGGTCCAGGGCCCTGTCCTTGGTCCCACTGCCAGCGTAGAGGACTCCTTCCCGGCTGATCCTCTGCCGGGCGTGGGCTCGAGCCCGCTCACCACAGCCATGGATCTGGGGGGACACAACGGTCAGTACTGGGCCAAGGGGGACGAGGTCCTGCAATTCTGCCCATCGCAGAGCTCGGGGACCATGAAGCCCCAGCGTAAGATCTCGGAGGGACTCCCTACTCTGGCCACACATGGATCCTGCAGGCTGCTGGGGGCGGGGGACACACCACACCCGTCCCTCCCCGCTCCTGTCCTCTGTGCTGATGTCAGCGCAGGGCCGGTTCCCCACAAACTCCCTGCAGGGTGAGGTCATCCTGTACATGGGTAACACAGGCCCACGTTTTGCACGTGTGACACATACGGTGACACGTCAACACGCTATCTGTAAATCACACTAGTGAGGTCACGCTGTCTTTCCTCCTAATCACTTCATGGCACGCATCCCAACTAGGATTAGATTCCCCTCTGGGAAAACTACTTTCATGTATGTCTTCCACATGCTAGGCCTATCATAGGGGCTCCAGTGACAAATGTCCATCGCAGGGGGACATGCATCCCGCTGCTGTGTCTCAGGGAAACCCCAGCATGCCTCCCGTGCCTGCAAGGAGGGAGGGATGGAGAGGGAGGCAGGAGGGAAGAAAGCACCCAGCACCCCGTGCCAGCACGTCCAGGTGCCCGACGTGTGCGATTCTCGGACGCCTCCTGGGCAGCGGAGGGGCGGACTGAAGCTGCGGCCTCCGTCCCCAAAGCCAGTGCCTCCTCTGCTGCACGAAGCAGGGTGTTCCCCTGGGAACTGCCAGGCGGGACCTGAGTTAGGGCCTAGTAAGATTCCAGAACAGCTACTGGCTCACCCAGCCCTGTGCACAGGTCACCAGGAGCCCGGGGGCTGCCAGCTGCCAGGGCCCATCAACACCCAGCTCACTGAGTGTCCTCAGCCCCGTCCTCTGCCCCTTCTGGGCTGTCCCCACCCGGCAGCCCTGGCCCAGGGCCTGCCACCACAGCTCTCCCAGAGACAGACGTGCAGTCACCCCTTCCACAAGGCCCAGGACCCACATCCATCACCATAACTGCTCCTCACAGCCCAGGGGACGGGGCCGGGGCCAGGCACACAGTCCACCTAACAGGTGGGGAGAGGGGCTCAGAGCCACCGTAATGTTAATCTGCCCACGTTACAAAGTGAGCAGGTGATGGGGCTGGCGCTGGAGGCCACATCCCCAATACCGAGCCCCGTGGTGCTTCCTCGAGCCCTCTGCCCGCACGCCGTCTCTGAGCGGGGGATGTGCGCCCCGGCACAGCCCCCTCTCCTGCTGGAGGAGCCACTGTGCTCCCCCTCTGATGGCCAGGCTCGAGGAGCCCACCAGCTCCCTGTCTCGGCGTGGGAGCTGCTCCTGCACAGGAGCCGCCGGGGGCTCCCCACCCCCACGGCACTGGCGACACGCACAAGCCGTGCAAACTCGCCCCCAAGCCTTGCGTTTGACAACTTATAAACGTTGTAGGTAAAAACCTTTCTAAAACACTGTATGTTTTATCGACAGGCGTGAAGGCGGGCAGGCTGCTTGGGTGTGTGAGGAGGGACAAGCCCCTCGCCCGGGACGAGGCCCTTCCTGGGTTCAGAGCAGGGCACAGTTGCCCAGCGGGCAGGCAGCGCCAACCCCTGACCTGGAGCGGGGACCCCCCGGGACTCCGGTGCAGCCCCTGCAGGACGGTGTCACCCCAGGGGCTGCACGCCCTCCCTCACACCTGCCCCCCTCCGACTTCAGAGAGCCCCACTGCCGGCCTCCCATCTGCCCAAACCAGAAACCCGAGGGCCACTCTGGGTCCTCCTTCCTCCTCTCAGCCTGACACACAGCCGATGGAGGCCGCCAATCCACGCCAACTCCCTTCCCGCCACACCTCGGGGATGGACGCCCAAGACCCTCACCACGTCCCTGCGGCCGCTCCAGCCTGCCTCCAGCCTTGTCCTCACCCAGGCCAGGCCTCCGGAGTCCCGGCCCTGCTGAAGCGCCCAGGCCCCCCCACGGCCTTCAGAACCAGGGCTGAACTCCCCGAGGCAGCTCACGGGGCCCTGCTCACACTCAACTCTCAGCATCCCGCCTCACACTCTCCTCCTGGCTGCCTGAATGCCACCACCTCTCCCTGGGGGCCCCGTGCAAGCCGTCCCCTGCCCCGCTCCCCACCTCCATCTGCCACGTCGGCCCCAGGGTTACTTCCTCTGGGAAGCCCACTCTGCGGGCTGCATCTGGGCAGCCCCCACCCCTACTGCACCTTGCCCCCGCATCACTCCCTTGGTGAGGCGCTCAGCGCACTGTACCACATGCTGGTCTCTCATCCAGCTCGCCCGCCCAGGGCAGAGGTGAAGCCTGCTCTGGCCCCCGCTCCCCACACCTGCAAGAGGGGCTCCCGTCGACACATGCTCAAGGAACGAACGAACGAGCAGCCAGGCTGCCGGCCCACTTCACACAGTGGCCCCCAAGGCCCTACCTCCCCTCTCCCCTGCGCTGACCCACCGACAGAACCCAAGGACGCTGGCACCACATTCCCTGCCCAGAATGCCCAGGATGTGGCCCTAACTCAGCAAAGGTGACGTCTGACTTACTTGTGCCCTGACACACTCAGAACAAACCGAGAGTCAACGTCTGCTTTAAGGCTGGCAGAGCTCACCACCAGCTGCCGCTTCCATCTGGAGCGTGTGTGCCCTGGCTCCGAGCCCTGGAGAGGAGCCCGCCGCCCTCCCCACTGCCTGGGCCGGGATGGGCCGCGTACCTCGGGCAGGTGGTGGCTGAGGCAGTACCGGCGGCCACAGTGCAGGCAGAGCTGGCCCAGGGTCACCACGCTGGCTGTGCACTTAGCGAAGCCACAGGTGTTATCAGCCTTAATGGCAGCCGAGACGAGGGCGTCAAAGTCCTCCTGGGCAGGCAGGTTCATGGCCGCGTGTCCTGGAGGAAAAAGAGCGTCACTCAAACAGGGAAGAAGGAAGTTGACAAGGACTCTCCCGCTGGGCCCACGTGGGCCCGCCGAGCAGCTGTGCCCCGGGCCCTGCTTTTGGGTTCACAGTGAGAGAGCAAACAGCGCAGCTGAGCTGGGACCCTTCTCCACGGAGCTGATACCCACTCGCTGCCGGGAGGCGAGCACGGACTTCCTACGAGGGGCTGGCTGCGCATGCAGAGTGCCTCTCAAAAGCTCAGCCTCTTTAATCCAGAAAACACTTAGGCACGAGGATGTTCCTCACAATGTTAACTATAGAAACAAAACCCCAAAGCACACTCGACACGCCACACCCGGGAAAAGGCCAGATGGACCAGAGCGCACCCACGGGGCATGATGTCAGGAGACCCTGATGTTTGCAACCAGATGCGTGGAAGTCTTAAAGTCACAGGAAGATGCTCAGGAGTGGAAAGGAGATATAAAACTCCACGTGGCTGTAATTCCGTAGAATGCACATGTGTAACAAACACACACACCAGGGACGCAGCTGCTCAGGCAGCAGTGGGAGGGCTCCACCCTGGGCGGCTGGTAGTGACGATCCGGGTGACGGGCACAGGCAAGATTCGCCACCGCTTCCTGAGTCATTCTGTCATGGGAACCCCAGGTGCACAGCACACAGGCCACGACGGCCAGCCTTGGAAGACACCGGGACAACTGTGACACCGCCCAGGGGCTCTCAGAGCCCCCACTGGCCTGCAGCTGCCTCAGTCTGCAGCAGTCACTTCAACCCTTCTAGGCAGATGCTACTTTGCCATGGCCCCCTGTAAATGGGGAGATGCCCCCACCCCATCCCGGCAGACAGGCTGTAAAGCAGACACGCTCTCCTGCACTCACACAGGCCCAGTGGACACTGGGCTCAGGGCAGGGACATGAGCACTGATGCCCCGAGAGCAGCACCGGGAGGCTCGGAGAGGCCTGGACATGCTCGCTGCCCACAGGTGCCCACTATCTCACGGATCAAGTGACCTGGGGAGACGGACGAGACGCAGCGACCAGGCAGAGGGTGTTCAGGCCCCAATCCAACAAGAAATCTCATCCACACAAGTGCTGGCCCCTCTCCTCCAGGGACTGCGCACCCACCGTCCTCACCCCGTGACCGGCAGGCCGTCAGCCCTCGCTCCATCCGGCAGCGCCCTGCGCAGCGTGGCCTCCAGCTGTGGCCCCGGACCTGCTCAGGATGGCCTCTGCTTCTTGGCTGCTGGGACGTCAGCACAGAGGCCAGAGGCCGACTAGACAGGCCACGTGGCGAGATGGACTCTGAAGGCGGCTGCCTGAAGGCCTGCTCCGACCCTGAGCTGTGCCAACAGCCCTGAACGGGCCAAGCCCCAGGACAGCCTGTCCTCAAGCACCACGCCGCAGGCCTTCTCCCGGAAGGAGGCCAGGCCTGCAGTCTCTCCCCCGGCCCCGGCCCGTGGCGGAGTCTGCTGCATTCTCAGTGCGGTTCAGGAAGGCGCTCAGCGTCTCTCTCCTCTGTGGGACATTGGCTCCTGGAGGCAGGGGCGACGCCTGTGCCCTGGAGGCCCAGCGCATGGCAGCTGCTCACTCGATACCATGGAGTGGACCCAGCAGAACCTCCAACCCTGGGAGGCCAGTATGAAGCCCTGATTGTGCTGACGTAGTTGTGCTCGCAGGAAGCACGTGAATGAAGGGGGAGCTGAGCGGCTTCATGGTCCTGCTGAGGGGAAAGGGCCGCAGCAAGATGCCCCAGACAATCCAGGCCGTGGCCACCAGGACACTCACCAGAGTGCCAGACGGGGCATCGCAGATGCCCACAGGACCACCGAGACACAAGACAGCGTCGCACGAGCATCTGAGTGGGCAGCAGGGCTGGCACTGCAGCAGGGTGTCTGTGACGCTCCTCCCACCCGGAGGCTCCCCACGCCGCCCCCGCTGCTCTCCAGACCCCTTCCCCACAGTGCTGCCATCTGCCAGCCCTGCACATGCCCTGGGGACGCCAGGATCACGTGACTCGGCGCCACCCTCACGGATCTCAGGCCGATTAAAAATAAGATGCAAAATGCAGAATCAAGCCAGTACCACCAGGAAGAAGTCTTAACTCTTCTCAGGGGCAGTAGGCGGGCGGGTTTCAAGTGGGGCAAACACCCGGTTTAGGGGACAGCAAGCCTGTGCCCTCGTGAGTTGACCCGACTTACCTTTACCATCTTTCTTCTTCTTCTTTTCCGGCACCTTCCGCGGCCCTGAGCCTGCGGCCTGTGGCCCGTCCTTGGCCCGCCGCTCCTGCCCGCTCCTCTCCCTCTGCAGTCTTTCCAGGTGCAGGGCCTTCAGGTCCAGCGGGTCCCGGCCGCTCTGCTCCTGGACAGGGGGCTCCGTCTGCACGGGGCCTGGTGGCGGGGGTGGGACCGGTGGGCTCGCCGGGACCCTCTTGCTCACAGTTATGAACCTCTTCCTGCCCTCTCCGGTGCTGTCGTGCCTCAGCCCGTGCTCCTCGGCGATCTGGTGGACCTGCATCCTGTCGTGTGAGTTGAGGGAGGCGGGAAACTCCAGTTGTGTCTCCTCACTTGCCATAAAGTCGGCGATCAGGGCCCTGAAGTGGTCTGCACTGTCTCTGCTCTCTGCTCCCTCGGGGCTGCCTCCGTTGAGGCTGGGCTGACAACGCGCCTCAGAGCCCAAAGCCCTCCCGCCTGGCTTCTGGCCCAGCCCGGCAGCCGCCCGGGCCCCCCGGGGCCCCTCCTGCTGCCTGCTCCTGGGAGCCTTCCTAGCAGGCACAGCAGAGCCTCGCGACTTCACGCCAGCCTGGCCAGGGCCCTGGGAGCTCTCATGGGAGTAGTTCTCGGGGACGATGTCGTCCAGGTACTCAAAGGCTGTGCGCACCTCCCCATGCACTGTGCAGTAGTCCAGCAGGGTCTTCAAGAAGGCGTGGTTGTTGACAGTGCGAGAATCACAGACGACCGCCACGTGGCGCCGAGCGCGGGTGACAGCAACATTGATGCGCCGGTCCTCGGCGAGGAAACCAACTTCCCCTGAAAAACGAGCCGGAGTGAGTGGCAGGGCAGGTGGGAGACTAGGGAACAAGGAGCTGGGCTTTCGCCCCCTAATCAGCAACAATCACCCCACAAGGACCATCCATCCCAGCGCCCCATCCCTCCCGTGACATCAGTCACCCCCCGTCGCCCACCATGATCCACCCCCAAGCCGCTGCCTAATCCGCCGCACGAAGGCACCGCCATGACACAGGTCATGCTGGTGGCTTACCACAGCCTATCAAGCCTGGCGCCATGGCACCTGATGTGATTTTGGCAGCTATTTGACTGTTGCTCATTTCCAAGAAGGACAAACGCCTCCTCCCTAGCCTAGACCTAGGAGATGGCGCAGAAGACACAGCTGCAGTCGATGCGCAAGGGAACGCACACGTTCCAGTATCGTCTCCCCACTGCAGCTTTTCCCTCCTCTCTCATCTGTTTTCAACCTTGCCCTGAAAATGCTTTACAAAGCCCGTGGACTGGAAACCACTCTGGGTTCGACTTTCTTACTAAATGAGACATCCACACCCCCAGCAGCACCAAAACCACAGCCTGAAGCTACACTCACCTGGAAGACGCAAGACCACCTCTGGCTTTGGGGGGCTCCGCCTCCTCGGCAGGGCGGCTGGCCAGCCTGCACGCCCAGCCCACCACTCCCACCGCACACTCGTGCCTCTGAGCCGCCACACTCTGTTGCCTCTGCCTGGAACACCTTTCCCCACCGCCTCCCCAGGCTGACACCAGCTCATCCTGTGACCCTTGGCTCAGATGTCCCCTCCCCAGGACCATTTCCTCCCACCCCAGGTGCTGCTGGCCCTGAGCAGGTTCCCATTAGCGCTCTCGTCACACTGCACTCGGGCCAGCCTTCAAGTTAGTGCCCTTGCCTGACGGTGAGCTGGTAGAGGAGAGACTACTCCACGCAACGCTCCCAGCCCCCGGCACAGCCCCTGGCAGAAACCCGGCGTGCCCTCTGAATAAACAGCTTGCTTCTGCGCTTCCCCTTGGGCTCTGACGAGTGTCCGCACCTTTCCTATTGGACCTGACGAAGGACAGGATCACGGCCTCCTTCTCCCGGCCCTGGAAGCCATCGACAGACTTGATCTCAAGCTCGGGGTGCCTGTGAGCGAGGCTCTGTCTGAGCAGGTCCACCTGGAAGAAGCGAGGCGCGGCCGCGTCACAGCCCAGGTCAGGCGGCTCTGACGCTCTGCCCTTCAGCTCGGCAGAGGGCCTGGGGCCGCGGAACCGCCAGGACCGTGGGAAAGTCCCGGAGCGACAGTTTCCAAGCCGCCCTGCTCCCAGGGGTGCAAACGAACAGACAACACAACACGTCAACATGGCAAATGCAACCCCCAAGCCCCCGCGCTGATCTTCTGTCACTCCTCTTGGTCCAGGACAGCTCCCACCCCAGACACCCATGTGAGGCCTGTACACCCGGGAGGCGCCATGCTCACAACACTTCGAAGCAGGTGCGTCTTCCCACCAAAGGAGATGGGCTTTGCTTCCTAAGCGCACAGGCACGGAGAGAGAAAATGTGAGAGAAACTGAAAAGGAGGGAGCAGACGCCTGTCGCTTCTGCTAGCCCGCCATCTACGCCTCTCCAGGGACAGTGGCACCTCTGATTTCCCTAAGGAAACCGCCGCTCCCATGCTCAGTCCTCCCGGAGCCCATGAAGCCACGCCTGCCCCAGCCCAGAGATGGGTGAGGGCCCCAGCTCCCCACCACAGCGACTGGCTCAGGGATGGGGACCGCCTGAGCCAGACCAAGATGATTCAAAGCTGAGACTCTGGGAAATGCCGCAGGAGGATAGGCTGCTCCCCCGGGACGGCCCGTGTCAGGACAACTGGGCTGCAGATGAAGCCAACACAGGGAACCAGGCCGAGAGGTCACGACGGGCGGGGTGTGGCACAGCGAGTGAGACAGACAGACGGACACACAGAGGCTCTCGCTAATACCACCTCAGCCCTGGATCCAGCCACGACGCGGTCAATCCCACCCTGGTGCTTTCTGTCACAAGAGCCGATAAACTACCCTTTTTCTCCAGCCACTTTGGGGTGGTTGAGTCCCACCGATATACACAGAGAGGCGCGAGGGGGCCCTCTCACACCTGGAGGTTGTACGGCGTGATGACGGCAATGTCACTCGCGCAGACACCAGCATCCACCAGAGCCTGGACGTGCAGAGCAACGAGGCGCACTTCACCTGGAGGGGCGTAAACAGGTTCTCAGTACAGGGACACTGAGCTGACACCTACCACCAATGCTTGTCTTTAAGCGCTCCTGTCTCTCACAGCGAGCTGATTTTACATTGTGCCTGTGGTAGTGTCCTGGGAGCTGATAACCTGAGTTGGACGGTTGCCAGATTTAGCAAAGAATCAGGAGCCCCAGTTGCACCTGCGTTTCCAGAAACAGCGAGCATCTTTTAGTCCAAGCACGGCTGGTTCCTCCATTCACCTGGCAGCCCTGGGAGTGGAACCCAGCAGTCTGCTACCACCAGCTGAGCAACGATCTCGCCCCCGGGCTCCGCCAGGCAGCGCTGGGCCAGCCTGCTCAGAACAAGACTAGAAACCCCGCCCAGGCCTACGTCTTCCCTGGGGAAGAAAGCGATGGTGCTCAACCTTCTGGAGCTTGTGGCTCAAACCTCCCACAGCCCGTCAGTGCCGCGTGCCCCCCCGCCTTTGCTCAGCTCGTCTCTGAAGCGGGCAGTCTGGAGGGACTTCCGTGCTTGGAGAGGAGCTCAGGTGTGTTTAAGCTACAGGCCGGCCCTTCCCAAGCAGGCTCACCAGGGTTCCCCTTAGACTGCTCATCCTCCTCTTCCAGCTCAAATAGCCCGCAGCCAGCCGTGTCCACCAGCAGCAGGGGGACGCCCGTCTCCTCCGTGGCAGCCACGCCCGGGAGGTCCCTGCTCGAGGGAGGAGACGGAACAGTGAGGCCGGCAGGAAGGAGTGCTGAGGCCCTCAGACCAGACCTCGCCTCCCCCTCACTCCCTGCAGCGCGGGCCCCTCCCCCAGAAAAATGGGGAACTGCCCCACGGGGAACACAATGAGCATGAGGAACGTCAGAGACTCAGAGGGGCCCAAACCCAGCCCTCCAGGGCAAGGCCACACTCCTTCCCAGAACACCAGGCCCAGAGCCAACTTTTACCCTAAAATCTTTACGGAACACAACTCAGGTGACACGGGGGGCTCTGTCAGGCAAGGAGGATGAGACAGGGGACGCCAGGCGGGGGTGTAACTGAGTCACTCACCGCAGGAGGTGCCCAGCCACGGAAGGGTGCGCCGTGAGCTGCCCGGCGTACAGGGCCTCCGAGGCCCATTGCATGATGGCCTGGTGCATGCGGTACTGCACGGTCAGCGTCCGCACCACCCTGGCGCCATACTCCTGGTCCAGGCGCTCCATCAGGCTGAGCGACAGCCCGGCCAGCGCAGCCCTGCACCCGAGAGGAAGGAACCGGAAGGAGGGCCTGAGTCCCTGAGTCCAGCTTGAAACCAGGGCCCAGGGAGGAAAGCGGTCCTCAAAGCTCAGGACCTAACAAAGCCCCTGCTCTGACCTAAGCTAAGTGTGTGGGCAGCTGAAGAGTGGCCCCTCAAAGACGCCCACGTCCTAACCCTGGGACCTGAGAACATGTGACCCTATGTGACAAGACGGACTCTGCAGACGTGATGAAATTAAGGGTCGAGATGCGAGACGATCCTGGATGATCCAGGTGGGTCCAATGTCATCACGAGGTCCTTAGAACAGGGAGGCAGGAGGGTCAAAGTGGGAGAAGACGAGGGGACAGGAGAGACAACTGAAGATGTTATGCTGCTAGCTTTGAAGACGGAGGAAGGGGCCACAGGTTAAGGAATGCGGGCACCTCCAGAAGCAAAAAGACAAAGGCACGCATCCTTCCCTGGAGCCTCCGGAAGGGACGCAGCCAACGCCTGCACGGAACCCACTGAGGCCATTTTGGGTCCGACTTCCAGAACCGTACGAGATAATAAATCTGTGCTGTTTAAGTCTGCGGTAAGCTGTTACAGCAGCAGCAGCAACTAACAGAGACATTCTTAAAATTCCGCACTCCAGGGGCTGGCCCCGTGGCCGAGTGGTTAGGTTCGCGCTCTCTGCTGCAGGCGTCCCAGTGTTTCGTTGGTTCAAGTCCTGGGCGCGGACATGGCACTGCTCGTCAGACCACGCTGAGGCAGCGTCCCACGTGCCACAACTAGAAGAACTCACAACGAGAAATATACAACTATGTACTGGGGGGCTTTGGGGAGAAAAAGGAAAAAATAAAATCTTTAAAAAAAAAAAAAAAAAAATTCCGCACTCCAGCCGTGAGAGTCCATCGCCGCGGGGACAGAGGCTGACGTTCACTGAGCATTCCTCCGTGCCAGGCTCTGCCCTCAGCACCTCACAGCCATCCACTCGCCCGCTCCCCCTCCAGAAGCACTTCTCCCCCACGACAAGCCTTCAGAACACACTGCCGCCTTTACTCCACCCCAAACGTCCCCCTCCCAAGGCCTCACTTGAAGCACCATGTCGGATAGCCTCGTTCTCTGCGGGCCCCTGACCGAACCGCCCCCAGCTCCCTGGGAGGCTGCACCTGACACACTCGCTTGCACATCTCGACTCAGAAAACAACGAGAGTTCCAAGGCCGATCATGACTTCCACGCACACGGCAGCAGAGAACTGTGTCAACCAGCACCAGGAAGAAGAAAGCGATCTTCAAGTGACTCGGGAGTCTTCACGGGTTTCCTTCCTTCTGGACACGGACTCTGGAACTGCCTTGTAAAAGGCCAGTTTGTTCACAGATACCCACATGCTAGGCTCTGTCCCCAGGCCTCATGTGACCCACATTCTAGCTGGGAGGATGAACGAACAAGTCCACATGTGCCACCACAGGGAGTGACGAGAGCTAAGGAAAACGAAGTAAGCTGACTAATGGACCGCAGGTGACGGGGATGTCCCTGCGACGGGGCGGTCACGGGAGACCACGCGGAGAGTCCAGCTGAGAGACAACTACGTGAAGGGAGGGCGTGACCTCCAGATATCCGGGAAGGAGTGGTCCAGACGGGGGGCCCTCACGCACAGAGGAGGCCAGCGTGGCCAGAGCAGGGAGGGAGGGGGAGTGGTGGGAAAGGAGGCGAGGAGAGGGGCCAGGCGGCAGCGGCACGTGCCCCACCCAGGAGGGCGCTGTGCTCGGTCACACTAGGGACACCCCGTCTCTGCAGCGGGCAGGATCGTATTTACTGAGTCCCTCCTCACGTCCCAGGCTCAGAGAAGCCGTGCTGGGCGGTGAGCTTGTCGACCCCGAGGTGAGCACAGCCCTCGCAGCGGCTCTCACGGCAACGTGCGCATCAACCTGCCTGGCTCCCTGACTCACTGCGGGACGCTCCACTCGGCAAGCGCGGACCGAGACCGTACCAGGTGCTGAGGCTACAAAGATGATCGCCATCTGACCCCTGACCTCATAAAGATGAACTCCATCCGACCCCTGACCTCAAGGAGCGCACGGCCTGACAGAGCAGACGTCTAAACGACTCAGTGCAACACGACGGGGTAGAAGTGCCATCAGGAAACGTGCAGAGGAGGGCAGACCCAGGACCTCCCGGTGAGCCCGGCGCCTCTGGGCTGGACTTTGAGGGATGGACCAGAGGGGTGGCGGGCGGGGGCGGAGAAGGCCCTCCCGCAGACGCTCTTACTTGTGAGAGACGATGGTGGGGGGCAGCTGTTTGTGATCTCCAGCCAGGACGCACTTCCTGGCCTTCAGCAGGGGGATCCAGCAGCTGGCTTCGAGGGCCTGGGCACACTCATCGATGACCACCACGTCGAAGTAGCCGTCGGGCAGCAACTTCAGAGGGCCGTCGGGAGAAGCACCTGCCGGGAACCAGAACCGTGAGCCCTTCCAGGAGGCGCTGGCGTGTCCTAACAGCAGCAAGCACACCGGAAGAGACACACAAGCCAGCTGTTTCATAACCCAGTCTTGCATTAAAGACTGTGTGTGATAACCTTGAGTCTTGGAATAAACACTTGGGAAGGACATTAAAAAGCTCATGGTTCCAGCCCACCTGTGTCTAAGAGGGCAGCGGTGTGTCCCTAGCCACGGGCCACTCCGACGTTTCAATCAGCAAAATCAATCACCCCTTTGGGGCCGGGACCCCAAATCCTGGAAGGCTGTCTTATTTCTAAATATTACTTCCGTATCATTTTCTGAATTTAGAATTTAATTAATTCTCCTCTAAGTTCTTCTTGAACACACAGAACAACCAACTGCTGAGAATTCACCAGGAGAAAAAAACTCCGTGTACGTGACAACATAAACCACCATACCAGCTCCTCCTTCCTGGAACGCAGAGTGGTACAGCGGACCAAGTCCAAGCGTGAGCAGGACCTGAGCCCCACGCCAGCTCTCGCGAACTGCGGCGGGGCCCGGGCAAGCCACCCAACCCCTGCACCTCATCCACAAATGTGGACAAGGGCTGCATCTCTTCGATGGTCGCGATATCTAAAAACTAATATACCACGTGCATGCCAAGTAGTATACAGAAATCGCAAAAGGATGCGTATAAAAATAAATACGTGTATTTAATAATATACATAAAGTGCCTGCCACAAGAAGGCAGGTTTTAACACATGCTGTAAATGCTAGCTCTTGCCCTTTTCTGCCCTGGTTAATTATGCTGAGATATACAGAGATGCACACCCCCACATACGTTATTTGATGACTAAGATAGAGAACTTGAACCTCCCCAGCTTGACCCTCAGGACACGGGCGGAAAGCGTCCCCAGCACAGTGAGACTCAGGACCGCGGTTTGGAGAACTGAGAGGCGAGTTTAGACTATGTGAGCAACTTCACGGAGCAAAGGGAAGCCAGCAGACTCCTTCCAGCTCCCCAAGCCAACCAGCAGGGACCTAAAGGCCACACGCCGACCTTGCGGTGGGGGTTGGGGGCCAGCTGCTTTGTGATTTACAGAAAGCGCTGCATTTAAAGTCAGTCGGAGAGGATGTCAGCAGAGACGGCTGAGTAAGGACCTGAGAAAGTTCCCTCCCCGACTAAAGCACCGAGAACACTGGCAAAATTGTCAGGAGCAGCTTTTTCAGAACTCTAGAAATTAACCAAAGGCTTGCAGCCATCCAGGAGCATTTATTCAAAAAATAGCTAAGTCTGGGCAAGAGCAGCAAGCTTTATGGCGTTCCTATGGAGCAGGCACTGCTCCCCAGTTCCATGGCAGACTTGAAGCCAACAGCCTGCAAGCACGGTGAAAACCAGCAGCCTGACAGCCACCGGGGAACAGGGCTCCTTCAAAGCCCCATCCAAGAGAACTGTCACCACCAGACCCATCTGTGTGTCCCTAGTAAGATCTCCTCACACTGCCGTCAGCATCTGACCTGACCTGGAGCTCGCCCCGTGCAAACAGCCGTGTCTCCGGGGGTGTCTGCTGAAACCATCAGAGGCAAGTGTTGAACATCAGAGCTCTCGGGGGCCATGGGCAACAGGTGGAGCCAACGACAGGAGGACCAAGAGCTTCAAACGAAAAGCGAGGGAAAGAGAGGTCCACAGGGTCTTTGAAAAGCTCTGACACATTCCTGCGAAGCCAGAAGGCCACGTGCGTGTAGGGGTGTGTGCACACCCAGGAATGACCCGAGGAGGCCCCAGGTGCGTGCCTCTGGCTCACCTCGAGGCTCTGCACGAGCAGGAAGTGAAGGCTGTGCTGTAGACTGCCTGGCTGGGCACTCAAAGTGCGCCCCTACACACTCGGAGCCCCTCGGCAAAGACAGGAGACTTCCTGGTGCCAGGAGTTCAATGAATCGATTTAATCATGACCAACCGCTAAGCTAATGAGCAGAGGCTTCAGTGGCCACCCTGGGCGAAAAACACAGACTCTGCAGAATCAGCTCAGAAAAGTCACTAAGCAAACAAACAACAACAGAGCAGCGACAACCAACCCTGGGGAGGGAAGAGAACCTGACGTCTAGAGGGGCCACGGGATGTTATTGCAAATGTTCAGGCTTCCAGGGAAAATTCAAGACGGGCAAGGAGACACAGTGTGGCCCACACACGAGGAAAGAGCAGTCACCAGAACCTGTCCCTGAGAAAGCACAGACGTCGGTCTTACTAAACATCAGCTATTTCCAGCCTGGTGGCGCAGCAGTTAAGTGTGCACGTTCTGCTTCAGCAGCCCGGGGTTCGCCAGTTCGGATGCCAGGCATGGACCTACATACTGCTTGTCAAGCCATGCTGTCCCACATATAAAGTAGAGGAAGATGGGCACGGATGCTAGCTCAGGGCCAGTCTTCCTCAGCAAAAAGAGGAGAATTGGTGGAGATGGTAGCTCAGGGCTAACCTTCTTCAAAAAAAAAAAAAAAGCAAAACAACCCAACAGCAAAACAAAATGTTCAAAGAGCTGAAGGAAACCATATCTAAAGAAATAAAGGAATGTATGAGAATGATGTCTCACCAACTAGGAACTATCAATAAACGGACAGAAATTATAAAAAAAAGAAATAGAAATTCTGCAGCTGAAAAGTATAATAGGGGTCGGTCCCGTGGCCGAGTGGTTAAGTTCGCATGCTCTGCTTCAGCAGCCCAGGGTTTCACTGGTTTGGATCCTGGGCACAGACATGACACCGTTCCTCAGGCCACGGAGGTGGCATCCCACATGCCACAACTAGAAGGACCCACAATTAAAATATGCAACTAGGTACTGGGGGAATTTGGGGAGAAAAAGCAGGGAAAAAAAAAAAGATTGGCAACAGTTGTTAGCTCAGGTGCCAATCTTTGGGGGAAAAAAAAGTATGATAACCAAAATTCACTGGAAGGGCTGAACAGCAGATCTGAATAGGCAGAAGAATTAGTGAACTTGAAGAATTATTCAGTGTGAGGAACAGAAAGAAAAAAGAATGAAGGCAAATGAAAGACTGCAAAGACCCATGGGACACCATCAAGCGCATCAATATCCATACCACAGGAGTCCTGGAAGGAAAGGAGAGAAAGGTGCAGAAAGAATATTTGAAAACATAATGGCTGAAAACTTCCCAAATTTGAGGAAAACATCAATCCACACGTCTAAGAAAGCCAGCACACTCAAAGTGGTTTACTCAAAGAGCCCCGTGGAGACACATCGTAATCAAGCTGCCAGAAAACGAAGAAAGCAGCCATTGGTCACGTACCAGGGAATCCTGGATACGGTTAACGCCCACTTTCTCATCAGAAACTTAGGAGGTCAGAAGGCAGGGGGTGACAGAGTCTTAAAACCAAGAGAAAGACTGTCAACCAGGAATTCTACATGCAACAAAGCTATCGTTCAGGAAGGAAGGAGAAAAAAGATACACCCAGATACAGAGAAGCAAAGAGGACTCGCGCACAGACCTGCCCTTCAAGAAATACTGACGGGCATCCCCTGGGCTGAAATGAAAGGACTCCAGACAGGAACTCAAACCCACAGGAGGAAACAGAGAGCAGAGAGCACGGAGGGATCTGGTGTTTGACTCTTCTTCTGTCCTATCTGATCTAGAACACAAGTGGACAGAACGCTAATGATAAAGCCAATCAGAGCCTGGACTCTTCCTCTGTGCCCCACGTCCTGGCCCCCTGCTGTGCACGCCTTGTGCGATCCCCCCACTTGTGCGGCCCAGACCTGCGCCTTGCTTCTAACCAACAGAATATGGCAAAGGTGACGGATGTCACGTCTGACAACATTACGTAGGATTACGGCCCCTCCTGCTGTAGGCTGTCGCATGCCGGCTGTGAACAACGAGCGGTTGTGCCGGGAAGCAGCTAACCCCATCGCCAGCAACTGATGGTTTTCACACCACAGGAGATTTCAAAGAAAGAACATTACCAGTGATAAAAATGCTTATTTCATAATGATAAACTGATTAACGAATCAAGAGAACGTAACCTGACATTTATGCTCCTAATAAAAGAGCTTCAAAAGAGATGAGGCAAAGGGGCTGGCCCCGTGGCCGAGTGGTTAAGTTCGCGCGCTCCGCTGCAGGCGGCCCAGTGTTTCGTTGGTTCGAATCCTGGGCGCGGACATGGCACTGCTCGTCAGACCACACTGAGGCAGCGTCCCACGTGCCACAACTAGAAGAACCCACAACGAAGAATACACAACTATGTACCAGGGGTCTTTGGGGAGAAAAAGGAAAAAATAAAATCTTTAAAAAAAAAAAAAAAAGAGATGAGGCAAAAACTGACAGAACTTCAAGGAGACAGACAAATGCACAAGAGAGATTTCAAGGCCCCTCTCTCAACAGGCGATAGGACCAGCAGACAGGAAATCAGCAAGGATAGAGAAGACTCGAACACCACCATCAACTATCAAGACATCGATGAAATATTCCAACAAAACCAGAAAACACACTCTTTTCAAGGGTCCACAGAACATTCACACAGACCGTATTCTGGACCATAAAACGAGCCTCAGGGAAACGATCCAAGTCTTACGCCCCACGTCCTCCGACCACACGGAACCATGTTAGAAATCAATGACAGGAAGGTATCTGGAAAATCCACAACTATTTGGAAAGAAAATAACACCCTTCTAAACAACCACGGGTCAAAAAAGAAATTGAAGGGAAATTAGCATTTTACAAGGGATGAAAACGAAACACAGCACATCAGACTCTGTGGGACAGCACGCGAGCGGTACTAGGGGACGTTTATAGCAACAAATGCCCATATCAGAAAAAAAGACAGGTCTCAAATGAACGGAAATCAACGACCTCAGCTTCCACCTTAAGAAAGGAGAAACAGAAGAGCGAACTAAATCCAGTGAGCAGAGAAAGGGAATTAATAAGGATCGATGCAGAAATTGATGAAACAGAAAACACAAAAACTAGAGAAAACCAGGGAAACCAAAAGATGGTTCTTTAAGAAGATCAATAAAATTAATAAACCTCTAGCCAGAAGATCAGGAAAAAAACAGGATACAAACGACCAACATCAGGAATGAAAGAGGAGACACCATTACAGATGCTGGAGATACTAAAAAGATAATCAGGGACTATCATAAGCAACTTTACACCTATAAATTCAACAACTCGGATTAAGTGGACAAAGTCCTTGGAAAATACAAGCTCCCTCGGGCAGAGAGAACCTGACCATCCCTACATCGATGAAAGAAGCTGGATCTGCAGTTAAAAACCTCTCTACGAAGCAAACTCCGGGTCCAGAAGGCTTCATGGGTGAATCCCCCAACACTAAGGACGATGCTACCCAGACCCCTCCAGGACCCTGAGGAAGAGACCACCCCGCCCGCTCCCGCTGAGGCCGGAGGGCTGGAGGACGCCCCTCCTCACCCGTGTTTGTCGCAAGGACCACGTCCGCCGACGTGAGGCTTTCCAGCATGGCCGCCTCCTCCCGTTCCTTGAGTTCTTTTCTTAGCAGCTTGATTTCACTGCGAAAATTACTTTTCTCTTGCTTCTCCTGGATTTTTTTGTTTTTCACCTACAAAGGAAAGCAAAGAAAATAGAATTATTCGGACGTGACTTTGTACTTATTTAGCTCTTTTTCATTGATGAGGTGCTTTTATTTATAATCAGTTGGTCCACTTCAGTAAGTTCTTTAAAAGACACTAAAAGTCAAAACTCTTTCTTGAAAGAGGACACACACACAGGTGACTAGGCGCCTGACAGCCCGACGGGCCTCAGAGCCGGTGTCGCCTGCACAGGGAGAGGCGGAAAAGGAAAGTCCAGGGCCTCGAGGCAGATGGCGTTTTACTCTGAATGCAGACGAGACCAAAAAGTGGCCCCCAGCCCTGCCCTGCCCAGAGTCATGGACGTGCTCTCAGGGAAGAAAAAGCCCCTGCTCGCCCAGGGTCGGGGTGCGAGGCGCTCACACAGGACAGGCTGAGCTGCACCTCCCGCTCCACACTCGTCAGGAGGGAACAAGACTGCTTCAGCCATAAAAGGCTCACCTGAACCTCAACTGACTCTAACACCGGAAGACATGTAACCCCTTCCTTATCCCTGATTTCTGCTTTGGAGGATGGGGGTTTGGCAGGAGTGACACGAGGGGTTTTATCGTGCCTAACTCACAGAGAAGGAAGTCCTGACTGACTTAAACAGGAGCGAGGAAATGAAATCCCCCACATGTGGGATGGAGCAAACAACGTCGCTGCACATTCCTGGACAGCTTTAACTGCGTTTGCCCTGTTCCCACCCCGCTATTCCCAATACGGCACCCTGCGCGCTATCCCACTACTCCTCGGGCCCACGGGACAGGCTGACCCACAGCACCGCCCTGAGGGCCCAGGACACCGAGGAGTGCCGACCTGAGGCCGGGAGACCAGCCGATGGTGGGCAAACACAGGGCAGGACAGGCAGTTCAGGAAATTCGGGCGGACATGGAAACTAGAGAACCAAAGAGCTCGGAAGTACTGGATTGCCAGAGAAAATGCCATCTCAAATTGACCTGTCACTGACCACGCTCTCTTTCACAAGGATAAGGCAAAATGGACCAAAAAATTGGGGAGGGTGCATATTTTCTGAATTTTTATTTTCAGGTTTTTTTTGGTTGCCACTATTACCCAGACAACATGACCAGCCATGAGGAATACTTAAGAGAAATGTTTTTTTTAAGACCATCCCTCAGCTTCTCATGGAACTACCCTGAAGACAGCTGAGTCCCTATGAAACCCTGAGTAGAGGTCTCTATCAGAAAGGGGCAGACACAAGGCTTGAAATGATCAGATGAGTCGACGGAGGCCAGAGAAAGGCAAGAAGAATACAGACAGATAAAATCCACTCCTTGAAAAGGCCGCAGATCAGAACACCACACACTAAGTGCACACTGGCTGAGAGACACATACAAAGACCTGGTCGATGTCCTTTCTGATATCTGCGACAATCTGTGCGTTGTCACTCCGCGCTAAAACCGCGTCGAGGGAATGCTGCTGAATGGATTCCAGAAGTCGGGCAGGGTGCCCGAGGCGCAGGATCCTCTGCTTGCACTGAGCCAGACGCTCCACCAGATTGTCCACTGCGATGTTGGAGGGCGCACAGCACAGCACCTGGGGAAGCAGAGAGCCACTCAGGCTTGGTGACTTCCTTTTTAATGAAACCACTTAAGTTTATGCTAGAATAAACAGAAAGCCTTACAGGTACAGACAGGCGGGTGGAGTGTGTACAAGTGGGAGTGTTAAAGGGTAAACACACAGCTACAAGGACGAGCAAAGACGCCTAAAGGGGACACAGCACTGTGCACTGACACGACATCTGGGTGCCTAGCGCCAGGTCTGAAGAACCTTTAGTCTCCAAAGCACCAGAAACAGTAAGTGACTTGCAACTGGAAGGAAAAGGACTCGAAGATTAAAGTGTGCCCTGAATAACTGAGGCTGGGACACCCATTATCACCAATCAAACCATTCTACCATCCGACCAAGTGGGACAAGGAAACTCTTTCTGAATGGGCCCAGTCTGGCTCCAGAACCGCAGCCCCACTACAGACGCAGGTGGCAGCCGGCAGAGGAGGCAGGGAGGAGGGTCGTCACCCGCAACAGGCGGCTGGGCCTCCCCACGTCCTGGCATCGCCCCGACCCACACTGGGGTGGCCAAAGGCGCACCTGCGCCCGAGCGTGCACACAGGCGCGTCCGGTCTCACCGTGTAGCGAGACAGAAGGCACCCAATTAAACCACCAACTCTGCTGCCTGCCCATAGGTCATCTTGTGATCCAGTTTTCAAATGTCTGTGTCAAGACATCCCTTTGTAGGAAGGCATTAGCCATGGTTTTGCAACCGAGTGACAGATTCCCTGCAGCTCCCAGGAGCAGTGGTTCTGCCCAGAGGCTCTGGAGGGACCGTGTGGCCGGGCTGAAATCCCAGCCCTGCCGCTCACCAGTGAACGACTGGAGCACGTGACCCTGCTTCGCAGCTTCCTCTGTAAACTGGGGCCACTGACCGACCATGGCGCCCAGGGTCTCTGTGGGGATTAAAGGAGCGCATATGTGGAAAGCACTTAGAAGGGTGCCCGGTTTATAAAAAGCACCCAGTAAACGTCAACCTACAAGTGTTGACCGTTATTATTCCAATTCTCACCATTATTCAACATTTAGAAACCAGAAAGATTTTTTTAAAAGCTTTCTTGTTCTCAGAATCCATGATGACTCGTGTTGATGCAGATGAGGATGAAAGAGCCTTTCCCAACCATTAAAAACGTATGTGAACACTAACGCACATTAGAGTCCACGTGTTGGAAAAACCAGTGACCTGCGCACTGCACCCGTGTGTCGTCTCAATTAACCAGACCACCTGACTGCCCATAAGCCATCCGTCTCTCCCAACCAGCCACACCTCTGAGGGACACAGGCGGCCTCAGTCCATGGCACGCCCCCTGCACACCCGGCATGGGCCTGAACCCAGAGCGTGGGCCCACGAGTGCACTGAGGGGACCACCTGGACTGGGACCTGGTGACAACAAAGACCTCAGCCACAGAGGGCTCGCAGGGCCTTTCTCAACAACTTAGACCGAGTGCCTGGGCATGGACACAACAATGCATGCAGCTGCCGAAAACCAGAAAGGGCTGAAGCCAGTGCCCGGTCAGCGAATAGCCAGGAATGTTCCCAGACCCCAGGCTGGGACCCCACGGGCGCCCACGAGCACGGCACACCGGAGCCGCTGGGTGCTGCCGGGACACGGTGTCTGCTGCCCACCTTCAAGCCCTGCTTCACAACTTGGAGGATGACTTCAACTACCGTGGTGGTCTTCCCAGTGCCAGGAGGCCCGTGGATGACGGCCAGTTCCTTCTGGGACAGTGCGAACTTAACAGCTTCCTTCTGGGAGGCGTCCAGGGAGGCGTTGCAGAACGTCAGCGGGCCTGCAGGAGAGGCGGCAGCGTCAGGCTCCCCGCTCGGCCCCTGAGCTCCAGCCACGCAGAGCACACGGAGGACACAAGGAGAAAGCCGGCCCTGCCCAGGAGGCACCGTCTATGCAAAATCGATCTGCTTTGTTTCCAGAGGGTTCTCCTAGAACGGGGATGGGCGACTGTGGACCACAGGCCAAACCCAGCCTGCGCCTGCTCCGTGAGTCGGGTTTCACTGGAGCGTGGCCACGCCCGCTCGCCTGCACGGTCTCCGGCTCTGGCCCGCCAAGCTACAACATTTACAACCTGCCCCTTTATGGACAAAGTCTGCCAACTCATGCTCCAAAATAACAGACTTTTCTGAAATAAATGTTTCCTGGAACACATCTGTTTCTACCATATTGTCCCTTTTAAACTGCCCGTAAAATGACAAAAACAAATAATAAAAAGAACTACGAGCAAATTCCAGGATTGCGTTTCTATTCTGCATCTTTCATGACCAATACTATCTGCTCCGTAGGCCCTGGGCTTCCGGAGAGCAGGTGCTGCTGTGTCCAGCTCTGTGCCCACAGCACCTGCCACAGGGCGCCTGCTCCCCAGAGACGCCCGACACAGGAGCGCGCCCGTCTCTCTGGCACAGGGCACCATCCAGCCTGGACGACCCAGACAGACTAGGAAGCCGTCACAGGCCGTTGGACCGAAGTCCCAGTGCGCGCTGCCCTGCTCCATACCGTGGCCCTCTTTCCCACCACGATCAAGATATATCGTGTTCCTTCAAACATAAGAAATAAATGTCTAACTCAGTTTCCAGCACATAGCAGCCTCTCAATATTAACATTTGGCAGAAATAAAATATCATTGAAATGTGAGTGCTTTTAGAACTTGAAAAAGTCCTACAAAGTCGCCCCGGGTTTAAAGCCAACACAAGACTGGGTGTGCCAGCACGGGTATGACTATGGTTGCGGGATATCCTTGGGTTAGAAGTGACTGAAGGATGCTGGAAAAACTGGCCAAGTGCAATATCCAGAGGATCGTTAAATTATAGGCAGCCGCTTGAGGAGATAATAAATGCTTCTCAAAAATGAGGTTCTTCCAGAACACTCAAGAAGGATAGGACAAAGTGCACAGACTACCATAAGTTAAAAGAGCATGCGTGTGCATACACGTACATGTACATACGTAAAACAGACATACTGTTCTGCATGGAAGTGGAAAAAACTAGAAGAATGCCCACAAATAGCAGTGAGGCTGACTCTAAATGGGAGGTTTTTCACTGATTTGTTTCCCGTGTTTGTATGCCTCTTTATTTCCAAATTCTCTATAATTAACACATATCACTCTTATAATCAGAAATAAGCCATCTTCAGTTTGAAGGATGCTGAGAAAATAATCAAATGCATTTAGAATTGAGAATTTTCAATCCCTGAAAAAAGCTATGGAGCATAAAGTATGATCAGCTAGCCTCTATTTTCACAGAGCACTGGGCTACGAGAAATATCCCTACGTTTCAAAGTAAAATATTTAGACATTAGAAACAATGTTACCAAAAAGTCAATGAATGAGCCACTCCTTTGACATCTGAGTACAGAAAAGAGTCCAGTTCATTCTAAGAAACTGACACAGAGATAAGAAGGTGGGTTTCTTCTCATAGTACATTCTCAAACTCTTGCTGAAATGGCCCGAGGTCACGCTGTTCCCGAGACTTTCTGTACTGATTTCAATCAGAAAAGAAAAACCAAAGGTTCTTACCTATTTCGCTGGCGGGACTGGGGGCTGACGCGCCGAAGAGGACCTCTATGAGCGAGGATGCTGGGCCAGAATGGTACTTCCTGAGGGTAATCAGAGCTCTGCCAAGGGAGAAGAGAGTCAGCAGCTCGCTGACAACCAGTAGCTAACTCAGCGCCCGAGCCCTGCTCCCACCTCACGCGAGGGGCACGCGAACCACCCAGAAAATGGCGAACCACCCAGAAAATGCGGCCGCTCTCTGCCCAGCGGGGGAAGAGCAGCCGGCAGGAGGGAGCTGCTCTTGAGGAAAGCATCCCACGTGGTTCCCAGGCCCATGCTTACTTCTTCTGTCGCTTATACGTGACGTCATTGGCAAGTTTTAAAAGTCTGTAGGAACTCTCTCGGTCCAAGCTCAGCTGGCAATCATGGGATTCGTCAAAGGCCACCGAGACCGATTTCTGGGTGATGCGGGTCAGGATCCCAGTGGCCAGCTGACTGCCTTCATTAGCAGCATCATACAGACCCACTATATCACCTGCGGAAACAGAGGCTCGGTTACATACAATCCTGGACAAAGTTAAATGTGAATTATTCCACGTACGAGGTCTAGCATACTTCAAATATCAGATCTGTTACTTTCTTTAGAAACGAAATCAGTAGCAGTAAAACAAAATTTTCTTAACACACATCTAACGAAAACTGACTTGAGATCACTGAGCTCAATGAACAGCTTGAGACAATCAGCAGAGTCTGCGCAGCGGTTACGTGCCTCCTCGGCCAGGCACTGGTCTAGGCGCCGGCCCGAGGAGGAATAAAACCCAGGCCCTGCCCTCCCACTGGGGACAGAGGAACAAACACTGCCGTCCGTAAGACGTCCGCGTGGAGGGCTCCGGGGAAGACAAAGCACAGGGCCGGTGGGAGGAGCCAGGCCTCTGTGGGGACCCGTAAGCAGGGTGGGCCCTGAGGTGGGGGCCACGGGCACATCTCAAGGACAATGTTCCAGGAGGAAAGGAATGTCGACAGAGGAGGGCCAGGGAGTGTGTGCTGCCCACTCGGCACAGTGCTCCCCACTCGGTGATGCTGTGCGGTGATTTACCCGGCCACCAGGTGAGTCTGAGGGGTTTCCCCCAACGCAAGGGACAGAGCAGGCAACCCACGCTGGAGCCAATCAGGGTGTCCCAGCCCCCCAGTGACTGGCTCAGGGAGAGCCCCTGAGAGAAGAGACACCCTTGCGTGGGCATGTGGGAAAGAAACCCTCCCTCTTTGCAGCTGACCAGAAACCTGAGAGGACACAGGGGCTAGCACTGCCACCACATGGCGCCTGAGAAGGAAGCCAACCCAAGAGAGGGCAAAGCCAAGAAAGGGAGAGAAGCTGAGTCCTCCCAGCCGCGAAGCCAGCCTGCCGCTATCGCGACCAACGCAACCCTTCCTGCCCAAGCCAGGCTGGCCTGGGTTTCGTCACCTGGAACACAGATATTCGGACCCAACAAGAATCCACTGAGACAAAACCAGGGCTCCCCCACATCAGCAGCCCCTTCAGTCTGTGTGGGAAAGCACGCGCCACGCCGCAGACAGGCGCAGACTCAGCCCCAGGAGATGACTTCTCCTGCACCTGACTCTTTCCTCTGCCCTCTCCCCGACTTTTAAAGACAAAGAGCAGGCTGCGGCCACGCCGCTGGGGCAGAGGTCTGGACCCGTGTGCCGAGACCGCCACGGGGACCCCACCGCACTGTGCCCTCTCCGTGGGCGCCCTGAAGAGGACCTCACATCTCGGAATTTACGTCTGTGAGCTACTGAGCTTTCGAACGGCCCCTCGGAAGATGAAAAGTAACAGCTCCACCTAAATCGCAGGAACAGCAGCAGAAGCACACGGAATTTCCAGCTCGATACTTTTCCATTAAAGGCCACTTTCTCCGACTGCCTGTCACTCCTCGATCTCTGAGGTCACTCACTCCACAACGCTACTAACTGAATGCAGATTGTCACCTTTGGTTTCCAGAGTTTACAAGCCCCTGCACAATCAGTCCTGCTCACTGAATCCCGACGGCGAGGCCGAGAGGCAGTGCGGTGACCCCTTAGCCCAGGCTCCAGAGAACGGTCACTTACAAGGAAGCGTGAGACCTCAAACTCCGCTCGGGGAGGACTCGGACCAGCGGCTCCCCTCATCGCTCTCCTCCCATCTGTCTCCAAACCCAGCCAGTGTTCCAACCACTGCGGGACAAGCATCCAGGAAACCAACAAACTGCCCCACCAAGACGAGGCACAGAGACACATGTAGGGAAAGTCAGCGGGGCTCTCTCCAGGTTTCCAGTCTGAGGTCCGCACAAGCATCCCTGGCATGTGGTCAAGAAGCTGCCTGTAAATGCCCCTCCTTTCCAGCAGGGCGGCCGCAAGCTTAGCTGAAGTGTGCCTGGACGAGAAGGGTGTGGGATACAGAACTACGCCTGCTGCACCCTGAATGATGGGGACCAGGGCCGCCCAGGAGAAAAATAATGACAGTCATGTGTAACCTTCAGCTTTCCAGGAGCCAAGTTAACAAATGTAAAAGAAACAGCTAAACTGATTTTAATAATAACATATCTCATTACTCAACCCAATATATGAAAAACACTATCACTTCAACATGGGGTCAGTATTCAAAAAAATTACTCTTGAAGGATTTTAACTTCTTTTGTGCTAAATCTTCCAAGTCTGGTGCGTGCCTTACACGTGTAGCCATCACCAGCCACACAACTGCCACTCAGGACAGTGCCCATCTGGGCTACGAAGAGCCACGTAACTGCTGGACTTCTAATTAAGCATTCATCATGGCAACGCTTTCTCCTCCAACTGATCACGCGCAACCCAGTCCTCGCGAGAGTAAAAGACACAGGCTGCAGGCCAGCAATAGTCAATGTACGTCAAACATGCACAGACCGGAAGTAAAGCTGTTACTGGGCAGCACGGCCGAAGACACACATCTCCGGGGCTCAAAGGTGACCAACAGCCGTCCGTACAGCCCGGTGCGCTGGCTGGACACCTGCAGCTTCAGCAGACAGACGCCTCGGCTCTGGAGTTCCTTCAGAGAGATGTTTTCCTGCCAGGACCTGGAAGACACGATATTGAAAGCTTCATGCAGGAGGTATGGAAAAGGGAGAGAAAAGCAGACAGAGATCTGTGCCTGGGCACTCACTATGACCCAACGAAACTCCCAACCTGCCCCTCTCGAACCTGCCCCTCCCACATCCTCTGGTGCAGTCATGCCACGGCCCTTCTCTCAGGTCCTGAGACAGAACCTAAGGTCTTCTCGACTCTCTCCCCACATCCCAGTTCCACGCGTCACGAAGGCCTCGCAGGCCCCCCATTTTCACCCTCGTGACTCCGCCTCTGCCTCTCATCCTCGCTGCCACAGCCTCGGTCCAGGCCCCCATCACTGATCCTCCAGACTATCGAGCCTCCCACCTGCCTGGCCTCGGGGCTCTCCCATCCAGTCACGGGCAGCAGCGCCCAAGTGATCCTGCCAAAATGCCCATCTGTTCGCCTCCCTCACCCGATTTAACTGTGCTGGGGACCCCCTCTGCACACAGGACAGCACACGAGCTCCTTGGCAAGGCATTTCTCAAACTGAGCCCTGTGTGTCTTTTCGTGGGTGCTGACTCTGCATGGGTGCCACGCTGAGCACTTGATTCACAGAGATCACTTCATTCTCACAGCAGTCCTGTGGGGTGGGAATGACCTATTTCACCGCTGCAGTAACTAAGGCTCAGAGACGTAACCTGCAAAGTTGCACAGCCATAAACAAAGGAACCCAGATTCCAGTAAGGACCGAAACAAGCGGGGCTCTGGCTGGCTCCTTCCTCACAGGCAGGCTGCCCGCCCTCCCAGCGCCTTTGCCAGGAATGCTCCTCTGCAGCCACCTAACTCCTATTTTCCTGCAGTGCCTCCTCCTCCCTGAAGCCACCTCTTTTAGCCGCCCCCCCACCCCAGGGTGAGCCGCCGTCCCTCTGTCTGTCCACGGCGCTGTTCGTACCTGCGCTTGCACAGGTCACGCTGCAAGGGCACTGCCCACGCTTCTATCCACCCCCCTGCTTGGACTCGGGCTCCGGGTAACCACACAGATCGCCCCTTCCCTCGGGCCTCTGGGGGATGGGTGTGAACATGCACAGGGACAACAAGAGTGGACCAGAGTGGACAGGCCAGGAGGAGGGTGGACGAGCGTGGACGGGCTGGGACGAGAGTGGATGAGCCAGGACCAGAGTAGAAGAGAGTGGACAAGGGTGGAGGAGAGTGGATGAGCCAGGACGAGAGGGACAGGCCAGGAGAAGGGTGGACGAGAGTGGACCAGAGTGGACCGGCCTGGACAAGCGTGGACAAGAGTGGACGGGCCAGGACGAGAGTGGACCAGAGTGGACGGACCGGGACGAGAGTGGACCAGAGTGGACGGGCCGGGACCAGAATGGACGGGCCGGGACGAAGCTGGAGGCCCGCGGGGACGCGACCGGGCAGACAGGCGGGCCCGCGCGAACGTGCAGGGGGCACTCTGGGAGAGGAAAGAAGGGGCTCCCAGGGTCCAAACCGGAGCGGGCTGCCGGGAGCGGACGCGATGTCCATCCCCGAGGCGGCTGCTGGGGCCGAACCCTCGGAGGCCCGCCCGGGGCCGAGCGCGACGGGGCTGGGGCCCGGCCGCCGCCGTACCTGCGCTCCTCCACCTCCGCGTCCCTCTCAAGCTCCAGCAGGTCCAGCTGCCTGGCCACGAAGCTCTCCACGGCCGCCGCTGCCATGGCCGCCGCCTGGCCCGGCCCGGAGCCGCCGAGGTCCCGCCGCTGCGCGGGCGCTGTTCGCCGCCGGGCGCGGTGCGTCGACGCACCAGGTTCGCGCCGCTTCCGCTTCCGGCCGAGGCTGCGGGAAGATGGCGGCGGCCGTGGCGGCCTGGGCCCTGCCGGTCACCTTCGGGCGTGTGGTGTCCGCGTGCAGCCGCAGCATCCGCAGACCGCCGGGGCCCGGAGCAGGTGAGAGCCACGGGTGTGTCTGTGTCCGGCCTGTTGCCTTCGGGGCTGATCGCCCTTGTTGATGCGCTGAATACAGCACGGGCTTTGGAGTCGGGGGCACCTGGGTTCAAATCCTGGTTCCTTTAGGTTAGTAGCTTAAATACGGACGATAGCTCTTCAACTTTTGAATATGCTCTGTGTTACCGGGGAAGCAAACTGAGGCTCAGAGAGGTTGACTAACTTGCCAGAGTCACCCAGCAGGGAAGTGCGACAGGAGTGATTCAAACAACTCGGTCCGGCTCCAAAACCTGTGCCTTACCATTGCCCCCAGGCTTCGAGCCACTTTCTAAGCCTCATTGTCGTCATCTGGAAAATGGTGGTGAATGTCCTCGCCTAAACTTAACCCATTCGGCAAAAACCAACAGCTGTCTTTTAGGCCCTGAGTTGTTATGAGGCCCGAAAAGGGTTATGTTCATCAAAAACATAACCTTTATGCCAAAAATGTAACCATCTGCCTAAAAACAGTCCGAGTGTGTGTTTGTGTGCATGAGTGCTTATATATGGTTTTAAATTGGGTTAGATGTGTATTTGATGATGTTAAAGAATTTTCCCTGTTTTAGGTAATATGATAGTGTCGTCGTTATGTTGGGTGTTTTTGAACAAATACTTACCTGTCATAGAAGTATACTGGCATCTTTACTGATGAAACAGTATATGATTTGCTTTAAAATAACGGCAGAGTTGAGCCAGAGGCAGTGGAAATCGAACAAGACTGGTCGCGGGTTGGTAACTGTTGAATCCAGAGACAGAACTTTGAGGGCTCAGGACTCACTATTCTCTTCTCTTCGCTTTTGTATGATTGACATTTTCCATAATAAAACTTGAGTTTAAGTAGCAGGGAAGTTTTTACAAAAGCAATAGGACTCACTCTGTTCTGCTGACGTGAAACCGCCTCTCGAAGGCGGTGTTCCATCCCAGACTCCAGCTGTTTAAGAGAGAAACACAGAGGAGGTGTCTCGAGTACAGAGAAGGTGACCAAAATAGTGAGCAGGTGGGGCCTTGAGGAGTGAGTGAAGGAATTGGGATGAGAAGAGGCAGTCACAGCCCTGAGACTCTGAACGACGGTCCGTGGAGAGGAGGGAGCATGTCTGTGTCCTGTGGGGTCGAGGGCTGGGCAGAGACCATGGGCGAGAGGTGCAGGGAAGCAGGGCGGATGCAGAAACTGACGGAGCTTCTAGCGGTGGGACGGCTCCCAGGAAAGTGCAGAGTTCCCAGTCATGGAGTGTCCAGGGGCCTTCGTTCAAGGACGGAGCAGGGTAGGTTTCATTCATTATTCACCATTTATTGAGTACCTGTTAGGTGGGGATGCGTCAGGAATAAACATAAAACAATAGTCCCCAGCATCCTGATGGGAGAAGGGGTCTGCGGAGAGACAGCAATTTTTAAAAATAAGCACATGACATAGCATGTTGAGCTAATGGGTCTTATGGAGAAAACTAAGGCGTGAGTCGGGAGGGAGGGGTTCGGTTTTAAATAGGATGGTGGGGAAGGTGTCCCGGCTGAGATGGTGTTTGAATAGAGACCCAGAGGAAATGAGGGAACTAGCCTTGCAGATCCCAGAGGGGCAAGGGAGGTTCCGGGGGAGGAGCCGGCAGGGCACAGGCCAGTAGGCAGGCACGTGTGCCTGGCGTGTTCTAGGAATAGCGAGGAAGCCAGAGTGAACGGGGGAAGCGCTTGAGAAATGGGCTCCAAGTGACAGAGGGTCACACTGCCCGCCACCCTGTTGGCCACTGGAGGGGCTTCGAATTTTTCCCTGAATGAAAGGGGAAGCTCTTGGAGACTTCAGCAAGATAGTGACATGATCTAAGTCTGAACACGGTTACTCTGGCCGCTGTGCAGAGAAGGGGGACGAGAGGGGGAGGGAGGTGTTCATCATCATCCAGGCAAGAGGTGGTGGTGGCTCAGATGATTCAAGTGGTTGGAGCCTGGATCTCTTGAATTGAGCCAAGAGGACTTGCTGATAGGTTGGCTGAGGTGTGGGAGGGAGAAGGGTCAAAAATGACCGAGCCTTTTGGCTGGAGCAGCTGGAGGATGCCGTCGCCCTTACGTGAGGTGGCGGGAGTCTGGGAGAATCAGGCGTGAGGGGGCGGTCAGGAGCCTTGTTCGGTTCTGAAATGCTGTTAGACGTGCACGTGGCCATGGCAGTGGACAGGCGGCTGTCCAGGCCCGGGCTACAGGGTAAACCCGGGAGTCAGCGGCACAGTGATCCTTAAATCCAGTCGACTAAAGCCATCACCAGAGGAATGGCCACAGATGAAGCAGCGGGGAGGTCTAGGGTCCGAACCCCGGGCACCGCACCATGGTGGGGAGCTGAGAAACCAGCCAGGGCGAAGAACAGGGAGCGGCTGCTGATGGGTGAGGTTTGAAGGGTGAATTTGTGGTATGCAAATTATAGCTCAGTTTAAAAAAAAAAACAATAGTTACAGAGAAATGTGTCCTCTGCTTTCTGCCCTAAGCACGGTGCGTTTTGTGCCTGAGCCCTGCCCGCCTCTGTAGACTGCGAGGGCCTCTGTCTCTCGGTGCGTTAGTTGTCTACTGCTGTGTAACAGATTGCCCCACAGCTTAGCCGCTTCATGTGACTAACTTTTATCCCACACCATTCCTGATGGTCGGGAGTGCAGGAGGGGCTCAGCGGGCCTTCTGCCTCCTGTCTTTCCATCTCTCGTCGGATTGGAGTCACGCTGTCAGCTGGGGCCGCACTTCCCTCGAGGCTCCAGGAGGCTGGAGAGTCTGCTGCCCGGCTCGCCGCCCCGGCTGTGGGCAGGCAGCCACAGCTCCTCCCCACGCAGTCGTCTCCATGGTTGCTCACAGCCTCTACAGCCAGAGATGAAAGAGTGCACAGCCAGGGGGAGCCACGGTCTCTCCTAGTCTCGCCTCGGGAGCGGTTCCATCGCTCTGTCACACGGCGCTGGTCACAGAAGCCAGCTCCACGTGGGGCGACAGCACAGGGGCAAGGATGCCCCGAGGTGGGCTCACGGGGTCATCTTGATGGTTTCTGCACACGGGCACAGCAGGACCTGAGCCTGCTGGGCGCTTGGTGGTCAAGGAGTGGGTTCTCGGGGGTGATTCGGTTTGAGGCTCTCAGGAGGAGGGTGATGAGTGCATCTGCAAGCTCATAGTAACAACGAGTAGCTATAAACTATGCTCTTTTCGTTTTGTTCACTTACTTTCCTGTAGACAAGTCGTGATGCGGTTTAAACTGTCGCCAGTGACAGCAGCTGGCGTTCAGCATCGTGACGGGCAGTGTGCGTTTCGTGTTGGTAACCACCCGTGTCTCTCTTCCTCCCTCAGCTTCCCTGTGGTCCGCTCCTCGGAGGTTCCGTTCGCAGATCGCTTCATCTCCGCAAGGGTAATATCAAAATGTGGGTCTTGGTGACTCTCCTCCCTTCATTTGTAGGACTGTCTTTCTAAAGTCAAACTTGATACGTTGGGGTTTTCAGGAATGTTTAAATTTTCCCTTAACTTTTTTGACAGTATTTTTCTCAGACCCTAAATGTGGGAGAACTCCCAGAGTCCACACAGGAAGGGGTTCCTGGGCCTGCCGTAGCTCTGTGTTATTAAGGAAAAGCTTTCACCTCCCACTGAGAGATTTCTAACTGGGTGGCTGAATCGCAGGCGGTCTATGTCAAAATCTCTAGGAGGAACTTACGTAATTTGGAAAAGCATCTTCAGTGTTAAAATTCTATGCTTAGGAAAACACTTTTTTTTTTTTTTTTTTTTTAAAGATTTTATTTTTTCCTTTTTCTCCCCAAAGCCCCCAGGTACATAGTTGTGTATTCTTCGTTGTGGGTTCCTCTAGTTGTGGCATGTGGGATGCTGCCTCAGCGTGGTCTGATGAGCAGTGCCATGTCTGCGCCCAGGATTCGAACCGACGAAACACTGGGCCGCCTGCAGCAGAGCGCGCGAACTTAACCACTCGGCCACGGGGCCAGCCCCAGGAAAACACTTTTTATATTAACATACATTACAGAAAATAAATGACGAAGTCACACTCGCTGGTAGGAATAAACGGGAGCCACACAGGGAAGCCCCTCGGGGTCTATCCCAGCCCCTTGCAGCCTGGGGACCCGGAGCTAGTGGTCCACTCTGAGCTTTGTGTCCTCTTCTGCAAAATGCAAGTGGTGTTAGTATCTACCTCACTCGGTTTCTGTGAGAATAGTCATTTTCTACGTTGTAGAAGGTAAGTTTCTGCATTTGAAGCGCTCAGAGCAGTGCGTGGCATGGAGCCAGCACTCAGAAAATGCTGCAGCTGCTGCCATCACTGTGCCAGAGACTCAGCCGGGGGAGACCCCCGGGGTCTTGTTTGTGTCTGAAAAGAAGTTAAAAAGCCGAAGCAGGATGTGGGGAGAGACCCTGACTGGGCATTTGAGTGAATCTGGCTTTTTCCTTGTCGCCTCGATGAAAGCCACTGCCTTCCCTCCAGGCCCCAGGTTTCCAGCCTTCGTTCCTCTCATAGTCTTCCGTGGGGCCCTCCCAAACAGGCCAAGAGGCGGAGGTCCCGCGGGCAGATGGCTCCGAGGGGAGAGGGGAGAGACCAGCCCTCCCGCTCCTCCGTCCCTCGGGGCCATCTCGGCCACAGAGTGTGGCGTTCGTGCTCCCAGGTGTTCTGAGCTTAGCACGGCGGGGGAGCTCAGTTCACTATTTTGGCCAATTAATGCCAAAGGGCCAGTGAGCTCCAGCGGGGAGAGCATTCACCCGTTGCACGGGTTTGCGTGGAGCACCTTTGGGCGCCGCTGGCAGAGACGCTGGGGCCTGTGCTGGAAGCCAGCTGTTTTTCCCTGTGGAGCAACTTCCTTTTCCTCATGCAGCCCTGGAGCAGAGAGACTAGAACTTCACTTTCTGGTGGCAAACAGCACCAAGAGCTTAAAACCCTTCTGAATGATTTGATTTGGCTCTGCCAGCCTCTCCCCTCTCTGTGGACTTCAGGAATTCGAGGCAAAAATAGGTGTGGAAGTTAGGGAGACCCCCTCCTCCTTTCACTTCGAAGCTCCCCTCCTTGTTGTCCCCCTCCCCTCACGCCCCACTCGATTGCCCCAGGCGGAGGGCAGACAGGTGGCCCCAGCACAGGACGGACTCGTGGTAACAGTGCTCCCGAGCACTGCCTGCATCTCCACTCTGCCACGTCCTGCCGGGCCCATCATCCCCTCTGATCCCCACAGCTTTGCAGGCAGGCGCTTTTATTGCCGTTTCTCAGTTAAAGACAGCGGGCCGCGGAGAAGCCACATGCTTGCCGAGGTCACGTTCGTCTTCGGTGGCAGAGCTGGGCTTCAGACCCAGCCCGCCCGCCTCCCGTCTGGGCTGGCGGAAGAGGCGGCAGCTGCCCGGTGGGACTCAGAGGTGGGCTGAGCGGCTGAGGGAGAGCGAGGGAGGTGGTCGCATCCAAGCAGCTGCAGGCAGGGATTGGAGGTCCATGAGGGCCCTTGGACGCCGGGTGAGGCATGGGGCCGAGCTTGGGGGGCAAGAATGGTTTCTTGTCCCCGCATTGTGTCTTGTAGGGAACGAGGGAGAAGGGGGCAGCGTTTCAGCCTGGACCTCTGAGAGAACGTGTGTCCTCAGGGCACCAGGAGGGCGCAGGCTTCCTCGGAGGGCCACCCTCCCAGGATGGAGTTATTCCAGGGAGGGGCCCTTCTGGAACAGAGTGCTTAGGTTCCTGTTCGATCATTGAATGATGAGCCATTCGTCCTTGAAGTGCATGGCCCTTCTAGAAGGATATGTGGGAGCCTGTCCTCAGGATGACGCCAAAGGGTGGGTCTGTGCTAAGGAGGCACGCCACGCCGCACATGCTCGCCCCCTCCCGCATCCGGGCCTCCCGGGGATGTGGGGGCGTGGCTCGCTCTGGCTGCAGGGGCCGCCCCAGCCAGTGACATGAGCATCCGAGACGTGAACTAGGGACGTCGTAGGTCCTTGTCCACCTAGTGTTTTGCGCACAGCCGCTTAGAGATTTTGAACTGCCGTTTCACATGTGTGTGACATGCATCTATAAAATATTTTTTACAGATATGTTCCTAAAACATCACTGAGTTCACCACCTTGGCCAGAAACTGTCCTGCCAGAGCCAGCTGAGGAGACCAGACACCATGCAGGTAAAAGAGGCGGCAGCTCAAGGCCGCTCTGGGAAACGGCCCAGCGGGAACCTGAGGTCCATTTTCTGCCACGCAACAGCAGAATGCAAAGCCTCATTCGTTGAGCAGATACTCCTGGAGCACCAGCCGTGTTCGGGCGGGTCGCGTGAAGGATGGAGGGGGCCATCGGTCCGTCTGTCTTCACTGTTGGGAGAAATGTGGGTTGAGGGAACGACTTCCCTCCAGTCAGAAGAATGATACGCACGATAATCAGTGGGGCCGGTGCTGTCCGGGTGTTGGAGAAGCCATCCGGGTGTCAGGAAGCGTGTCACCTGCACCACGGGTGGTGAGGACAGACAGTGTGGCCAGCCACCACAGCCACCTTCGCATGAGGGAGAGCAGGATGCTCGGTTTTCGAAAAAAACGCTGGGGATCTGAATTCCCATGCGGGCCCTCCCAGCATTAGAGCAGTTTCAGACGCCGTGTGAGATCACCAGACCAGGCTGCAGGCTGGGGCTGCCCGCTTGCAGGCGCGCTCTGGTCCTGACTGCAGGGCAGGAACTGGATCGTGTTCATGCCTGGGCGCCCAGCCCCAGACAAGGCCGGTGGGTCGGTGCCCAGTAGATGCTGTTGTGACAGTGACAGAGCAGGTGGAAGGGCTTGTGACCTGTCAGGCAGTGACCACAGACACGGGAAGCAAGGAGCCAGAATCCAGCGCCCCAGGGTGTAATTCAGGTTTCCTTGTGGGCAAAAGGGGCTCTGCTCTCCCTTCCTGGGGTTTGCACACCCCCAGGCCCCTGGCTCTTTCTCAGCACTGTCTGGGAGTCCAGCATCGTGACAGTTTTCCACCCCAGCGTCAGAGAGAACGAGCCAGGCATGCTGAGGGCGGGGCCAGAAACTCTCAGGGCAGGGAGCATTCTCTGACCTCCAGGGACCCTCCATCTGTAAAGCCCCATGTGCGCACGTGCAGAGGGACCGGTGCTCCTCGGAAGAGCAGGCGGGCCCTGTGCCCAGGTGCCAGGGCGTGCAGTGGGGAGAGCGAGGGCGCAGCCACCAGCAGTGAGCTCACCCCACAGGAGGGGCGGCTGCGACACCCGCCCTCTGCCACTCCACAGGAGCTCATGTCACCTGCTGCAACCTCAGAAGCAGGCCGTGGTTAACATAGTGGAGTCCCTGCGGCCTCTGCAGTGGTGAGTAACCGGCTGCCCTCTCCCCACAGAGGTCGTGGGGAAGGTCAACGAGCTGATCGCCACGGGCCAGTATGGCCGGCTCTTTGCCGTGGTGCACTTCGCCAGCCACCAATGGAAGGTCACCTCTGAGGACCTGATTCTGATTGAAAATGAGTTAGACGTTGCGTGTGGAGAGAGGATTCGGCTGGAGAAGGTGAGACTCAGGGCTTCCTTGTGCATTCAGGGGCTCGGTCACCACGTGTGCAGGCCCTGCTCCCCGGGGTTCATCACGGGGGAAGTTTCCTGAAGTCGGGGGGAGGCTGACAGTGGTCAGAGCCAAGGGAGGGGGAGCGAGAGGCCAGCCTCCTCCCCCAGGAGTGCGGCACAGGCCAGGCGGGTGATGTGGGCAGAGCCCTCCCTCAGGGGTTCCTCCTCCCGGGAGATGGTCAGTGTGTCTGTCAATTGTCTCACATCTCCCGAACGTAGTCCTGTAGAAAAGTGTTTGATCTCAGATACACTAAAAATCCCAGCCAAGGATGGAAAGAGTTTTCAAGCCCATATTTTTTTCTTTTTTAAAGATTGGCACCTGAGCTAACAACTGTTGCCAATCTTTTTTTTTTCCTTTCTGCTTTTTCTCCCCAAATCCCCCTAGTGCATAGTTGTATATTTTAGTTGTGGGTCCTTCTAGTTGTGGCATGTGGGACGCCGCCTCAGCACGACCTGACAAGCGGTGCCATGTCCAGGCCCAGGATCCAAACCGGCGAAACCCTGGGCCGCCACAGCAGAGCGTGCAAACTTAACCACTCGGCCACGGGGCTGGCCCCATCAAGCCCATATTTGTGAGGAAAAAAAAAATGCTCAGTTCTGGCTAGAACACCACTGTGACGTTAGATTTGATGGCCACCTCGGCTTTAGACGGTAAGGACTGGTTCGGAGGCATTTCCCTGGGCACCGATGTATCTTCCTGGCCCTTCTCAACCGATGGCCTGTCTGTTGAGCTCAGCATTTCCACCCGTCGGTTATGATTCTGTTTGCTGCATTTAGGGGATCTATTTGTTTTTGTCTATTCTACATATAGAACTATATATAAAACATTAAGCTCTCTGGGGCCGGCCCGGTGGTGCAGCAGTTCCACGTTCCGCTTCAGTGGCCCAGGGTTCGCCGGTTCGGATCCCGGGTGCGGACAGGGCACCACTTGGCAAGCCATGCTGTGGCAGGCGTCCCACATATAAAGTAGAAGAGGATGGGCACGGATGTTAGCTCAGGGCCAGTCTTCCTCAGCAAGAAGAGGAGGCTTGGCAGCAGATGTTAGCTCAGGGCTAACCTTCCTCAAAAAAAACACATATATATAAGCTCTCTGTATGTACTTAACTGTTAATATAGGATGTACTCAACTGTTAATATAATGTAATATATGAGATTTTCCTTGTTAAGTGAAACTCCTCCTTCCTTTGTGATGGCAGAGTTTTTGCGTATTTACACCAAGGAGAGCATTAACCTCTGTTTCTCTGATGGTCTTCTCACAGCCTGCGGCCTGAGCACAGCTGCTTAGCTCAGAGCTGGACTAGTTAAACGATAGGACGTGTGCAGCCGGCAAAGCTCGCTTCTCCGTGACGTCAGTGACTGTCATGAGCTCATGAGCAAGAGCACATTTAATGTCTGAAATAAGTAGGAGACTTCAGGAGTGTAGCTGCAAAGATTTCTAAAAAGACATCATTTTGAAACATTTCACATTAAAAAAAACGTTATAGAAAGCCCCACTTAATGCCGACTGTTTTTCATAACTTAGGAAATCCGGTGGAGAGAGCACCTTGCTCTGACAAGTGTTTTATTGTCTGCCGTCCACTGGTGTGATCATGAAATAGGCTTTGTCTTTAATCATTTAAGTTTAGTCTGATCGGATTTTTTTCTTAGGAGTAAAATTTAAGGGTCTTCCAACATCTAATAAAAACCCCGTTGCACTTGGAAGACAAAGATGTCTCCTTCTGAGGCCACACTTGGCGTCCCAATTCCCCTGACTCCAAGAACGTTTGCCTGACTGTACGGAATTCTGCAGTCATTAGAAGTTATTGAAAGAATACCTGGAACCTAATCTTTGCACTATTAGCAGTGCTGTGAACGGCTTCAAAAGGCAACAGAGTATGATCTGTGCATTTTTTCCCTGTATATGTTATACTTCAATAAAAAGTTTAAAAAAAGGCAGCCCCAGTGGCCTAGTGGTTAAGTTTGGTGCGCTCCGCTTCAGCGACCCAGGTTCAGTTCCTGAGCGCAGACCTACACCACTTGTCTGTCAGTAGCCATGCAGTGGTGACAGCTCATGAACAAAAAGAGGAAGTTGACAGTGGATGTTAGCTTAGGGCAAATCTTCCTTAGCAAAAGAAAAGTGTAAAAAGAGAAAAGAAGCCACCATTTCTGTAGGATTTTAACGCACTTATCTGGATGTGTGGTCACCACATCGAGTAATCAGTTTATACCTGCCTTGCCGCCATCAGGCTGGGACATATCCATAAGCTGGCCCCAGGGCTGTCGCACACCCCCACATTGTCAGCTTGCGTCCCCCCTTCTTTAAAGTTAAGGAAAGAATTAGATAGCAGATCAAGTCCGTATCTCAGTTTCAGGTACCAATGTGTTTCTCATTTCCCAGTGCATTCTTGTCACTACCTCTTCTGGCGACTTTTCAATTACGTGTTGGTAATGCACCTGTTTCATTTTCCAGGTCCTGCTGGTTGGGGCTGACAACTTCACGTTACTTGGCAAGCCCCTCCTTGGGTAAGTTGCTCTCAGATGCTGGGCTCTGGAGGGCGCAGGCAGCGAGGCGGGCGGAGAGCCTCACACCAAATCGTTGGTCTGTTAGTAGTTCATTACAGTGTGGCCTTTAAGATTTGTTAACAGACTACACCGTTCTTTATTATGCTGCCTTGTCACTTTCAAAATGTCTACAGGGAGGGCGTGTTACTTTTATAATCAGCAGAAAAGAAGGTAAACCTTCATTTTAGAAATCCTTACATAAAGTCTCAGTAAAGCTGAAAAATAATCAAGAAGGTATATCATTGTTTCTTTTCCTCCTTTTTAGAAAGGATCTTGTTCGAGTAGAAGCCACAGTCATTGAAAAGACAGAATCATGGCCAAAAATCAATATGAAATTTAAGAAGAGGAAAAACTACAGGAAGAAAAAAAGTAAGTGACAGAAAGCGTTAACTGGCCCGGAGTGTTCGAGTCCTGCTGTGGGTGTGACCCATGCGTCCTGCTGCTGGGCTGGCTCGAGCCGGGCGCCTCTCTGCCTGGCACCATTGGGGGCACGGTGGCCACAAAGACCATTGAGAGAGCTCTGCCCCGGTCTGCAGGGTGTGACGGGGGCAGGAAGAGGTCCTTCTGAACCAACCCAGGGGTTGTGGAGGGAAAGGGCCCTGGGAGCCCTCAGACACTGCCGCCAGACGTGACCTGGCCAGTCATTGCGGCGAGGTGAACATTTGCCCTCCCTGCAGCCAGGCACAGCACGGGCCACAAGACACATATGGAGACGTCAGTGGCACCCTCGTTCATGCTGGAAAACACCAGAAGCCCCGTCCGTGTCCACCACAGGGACTGGACAGATATGTGGAGGGGTGCTCTCAGAGGAGTAGTATCTGGGGGTGGGAAAGGACTCTCCCTTCACAACCGGAAGGAGCCTTAGGTCCCGGCAGGGCGACGCCTGCAGGTGAGCAGACTCAGCCTTGCACTTCCGGGCCCACGTGGTCCTGGTACGTTATATATGCTCATCCGCGTGCACAGAACATTTCCCAAGGCAGCACAGCAGTGCACAGGCTATGGTGGTGGTGGTCGTCTGGAGGGGGCAGGAGAGGGGGTCCGGTAGACGCAGAGGCTCTGTCGCATCCTTTCAGGTGCATGTGGCGGCTTGCCCAGCTTGTCATGCTGTTGGCCTTCAGATGGCTTGTGTTGGTCCACGCGTTCTTTCCTGTTACAAGGGTTACATTAAAATCCACCACGTGGGCTGTGAAATAGAAGCGGGAGGGCACAGTATCCTTTGAAGGTGATTAGAGGTGGCAGCAGGAAGGGGGTGAGGTCAGGAGGGGCTGGTCCCTTTTAAGTGGCCGGAGGTGGAGGAGGGGCACTCCTGAAGCCTGGAAGAAGCGAGACGTGGGCGAGGAGGAGAAAGAGGAAGGCAGTCTGGAGAGGTCCAGGGAGACCCAAGGGCGCATGGCCGCTGGGGGTGAGGGGTGTGTTGGTTGTCCGAGGCGTCTGGATGCTCTGAGCCCCCAGGAGGAGCGTGGGCTCTGGGGCACAGGTGGGGAGAGGCCTCGGACGGGCAGGCCCCCATCCTGGCTCCGGTGAGATGAAGGGGCACCCAGTGCGGCTGGGTTTAAAAGGTGGGTAACAAGGCCAGGAGCCAGTGGGAAGGAGAGGAAGCCCAGCGCGTGCGTGGACACGGATGTGGACAGAGGGGCTGCGGGTGGCACGGAGCTGAGCCGCAGCAGCAGCCAGTCTGAGGGGTGGTCTCGCCCGTGGGTGTCCTCCCGGGAGGGCGCACAGGCAGTGGCCTTGTTGACAAGCGCGTGAGGGGGCGGAGGGGCTGGGTGTGGGCTCTCAGCCGGTTAGCGGGAAGTGAGAGGAAGCTCCCCTGAGTGGCGTTTTGCATCCATCCCGAGGAAGGAGTGTTGGGCTGACAGCCCCTGGGTGGGTGGGGATCAAGGCGAGCGGTCTCGGAGGGAGGGAGATGTGAGTTCCTCCGCCCTCCCTCTCGGATGGGTGCTGGGCTCCACGCCTCCGGGACGAGGGCAGTGGGGCACGTGGGTGGTGGGGAGGAAGCCCTGGGCAGGTCTCGGTCCAGCCGGCACTGCCTACTTCTGCCGTCCTGTGCTGGAGGGAGCCCGGCCGAGGCCTGGCCTGCGCGCTCCGGTTCTCCTGGAGCCGTCACGTTCCCTTCCTTGATTCCGATCCCCGGCCGCCAGCACTGCCTGCGTGCTCCACAAGCAGGACAGGGCTGTCCTCGCAGGAGCCTACCCCAGAAGTCACAGTCCCCACGAGGCGGCCCGCAGGCTGGAGAGTCTGCGGCACTCACATCCTCGGGTACAGCAGTGACCGCTGGCCTGAGCTGCCGCTCACGGGGAGGGATTGCCACATCCCTGAGGCAGGGGTGCGGCCTTACCCAGATGCAGGTCAGCAGGAGCCTCGAGGGCAGCGAGACGGGCCGGCCACCCCGCTGCAGTCCAGGGGGCTTGTGGTGTGCATGCCGGGGCGGGGGGAAAGGCTGGGGCCGCCGCAGGGGCTCTCCTGGCCACCAGGCTTCTGGGGGTCACAGCCTCTGCAGCTCCGGACGGGCTCACAGAGCCAGTGGGGGACACAGTGCAGCCCACGAAGTCCTCGGGGCACGCGGCCAGCAGGGCCCACGTGGGCTGTGGGCTGTCACCTGGTGCCACCTGGGGGGGGCTGGTATGCGGCAGAGCCCTCGTGGAAGGAGCGGGCGGCAGGGCTCCCGTAGCCCACTAACAGCATCCGAGTTTGTGGTCCAGCTGTGACCATGTTCTCGCTCTGTTCCAGTTATTGTGAGCCCGCAGACTGTCCTCCGGATAAACACCATTGAGATTGCGCCCAGCTTGTGTTGATCGTCCTGCTGATGGTCACAGAAATGTAGAAATAAACTCCTGTTTTCTGAGGAGACTGCGTGTCTGTGTTCACATGGGAAAAGCTCTGCGTCCTGTTCTCGATGGTTCTCCCTTGAGCGCCGGGTCTGTGAGCTGCTTCTCAGTAAGCGGCAGCCTCCCTGAGCCAGAGCAGCCCGGAAGTCGGGAGGAATTACAGGCGGCCCTCCTGGGGCTGGAGCCGGGATGCTTGTGTAAGAGACTAGCGGGTGTTCTTGGCTGCCCTCCACCCGCACCGCAGGCAGCAGGCCGAAGGGTGGGGATGCAGCTGGGCCCCGGGCCCACGCCAAGAGACACAGGCTGGACTCCCCCTCTGGGCCAGATGGACGAAACACCAGCCAGCTCCATCTCGGAGTAATCCCGCATACCTGTTTCTGGCGATGTTCTTTTTTTAAAAGCTGGTATTCAAACCGGGCAGGCAGCTAATGCAGGTACAAAAGGAAAGGTCCCCAACCCGGAGTGGCCAAGGAACGCAGGGAAGGACTCAGGGGAGCAGGCATGGGGCAGGTGGGGCTCTCAGGTGCCCCAGGGCCCTGGTTCAGAGTCCTTCACAGAGGCGGGGACTTCCTCCATGTGACTTCCTTCAAGGGACATCGCAATAAAACCTTTTAACAAACCGGAGTAAATACTTTCTTCTGCATGATTCCTTTGGGAATCTTCCCTGTTTTGCAGAAACAAGAAAGGAAGGCAGGGCTGCGCCAGGAGGCCTCGCCCATCCCCCCATCAGTCATCCCCATTTCAGGTACCCTGACCCCCTGGGGGGATGCTGGCCGGCCCATGGGGCGCACTCTCCACCTGCAGTGCCCTCCGTGTACAGCAGGGGGCAGCCGTTGTGCTGGACGAGGGGGTCTGGAGTCAGGCCCTTGCAGCTCCCGCAGTGGTTGCTGGTTCCTGTGTTGGTTGCAGGCTGCGGTGATGCTGGGGTTGGTGGGGTGGTGGGACCCAACCTCGGAATGTGGCGTGCTGTCCCTCAGTGCTGCCACCTCGGGAATTTTTGGTGGCTTTCTACATGCTGAGGCTCCCGCCAGCTGCTCTATCTGAGACTGACACCTCCAGGGGCATGGTACCTGGTACCTGGTGTTCTCTTGGGGGTCTCTCCCTGCCAGCCTGGTGCCGTCTTGTGTGGTATTGTTCCACATGCAGGCTGTGAAACATGCAAGACAGGACTGACCTCGCACATTCTTTAACTTGCGCACGTCCATGTGCTGAAATCTAGGGCAGGTCCTGAGGTCGTCCGCTGTGTCAGGCACTGCCGCCTAGTGCTCGTGTGGGTTCTGGAGCCGGACAGCCAGGTGGGAGCCCCAGACCCACCCCCAACAAGCCGTGTGTGGTCTCGGGGAAATTACCCAGTCCCCGGGCCTCAACCTCCTCATACGTCAAATGGGAGTGATGCCAGGATCCACCCTGCTGGACCAACGTGGGGACTCAGGACACCAGTAATTGCTCAGTCAACATTCGCCATTTGTAGGAACAGGCAGAGCCACCAAGCGGGGCGCTGGTGACGTGCCTACAGAGCATTCCTGTTGGTATTGAACTGGCGAAAGTTTACTCCCTTTAAAAACTGGACTAGGGGCCAGCCCAGTGGCGCAGTGGTTAAGTTTGCACGTTCTGCTTCAGCAGCCCAGCGTTCACTGGTTCGGATCCCGGGTGCGGACATGGCACCACTTGGCAAGCCATGCTGTGGTAGGCGTCCCACATATAAAGCGGAAGAAGATGGGCATGGATTTGAGCTCAGGGCCAGTCCTCCTCAGCAAAAAGGGGAGGATTGGCAGCAGATGTTAGCTCAGGGCTAATCTTCCTCAAAAAAAAAAAAAAAACGGACTAGGCTTGGTTCACAATAGCCAAAGGCAGAAAGTACTGAGTGTCCATCAAGAGGTGGACGAATAAATAAATGTACCCTGACCACATGATGGCACGTCATTCAGCGAGAAGGAATGAAGCATGGCCACATGTCGTGTTCACCGCGAGACAGGTGCACCTTGAACACACTCTGGTAAGTAACAGGAGCCAGACACAAAAGGACAAATACTGTCTGATTCCACTGCTACGAAATACCTACAATTGGCAAATTCATAGACACAAGCATGAAAGCTTACCGGAGGCTGGGAGCCCGGGAACACGAAGTTCTTGCTTAATGGGTACGGGGTTGCTGTTTGAGGTCATGAGAAAGTCTGGAAGTAGATGGTGGGGATGGTTGCACAACATTGTGAATGTCCTCAATGCCGCTGAATTGTCACTTAAAAATGGTTGAGGTGGTAAATTGTTATGTGTATATTTTACCATGATAAAAAAATAGAAAAAAAACTGGACTAGGTTAACGATGTCACTTGACTTTAAAAAAAGGCAGAAAACAGATCCAGGTAACTTTCTGCAGAGGGTGCATGTTCCCTGCAGGTTCTTCCTGACGCAGCTGTTCTGGGCGAGAGGTCACAGCCATGCTGCGGGTCAGCTCGGGGTGGGTAGGAGGCTCTGGCCCACACCACCCCCTGCTGTCTCTCATGCCGGCTGCTGGCTGGGTGCGCCCGGGCCAGGATTCTCTGTTCCCTTTTCTGCAGGAACGCTTGGCTGCTCAGTGAGCAGCGTGGCCTTCACCCAGGGGCCTCCAGGCTCCTGCTTGCCTGGCCTCCCGTTGACCCAGCCACCACCTGGTCAGCGCCCACCTTGGCCCACCCTGCTCCCGAGGCTCTGTGGCTATCCTCCCCGAGCATTTCCCCTCCATCTTCCCCCGGGCTTGCTCCCCTGGACTGCAGAGCTTGGCTCACCCTCTCCGGGCCAGGCTGGGCCCGAGGCTGCTGCCACCCCAAAACCTCCCAGCCAAGCCTGCGTGTACCAGAGATGGCAGTAGGGGGAAGGCATATAAGGAGGGTGTGAAAGGGGACAGCGCAGGACACAGGACAGCCAGGGGTTAGGCACAGGGACTTTGACTCTGACCGTCACCTCTGTCACTAACCAGCGTGCCTGACAGCTCTTGACGCATGTCCTAGCTCAGATGGGGCTGCCCAGCCCTCGCATCTCAGGAGGTCCCTCCCTCAGGACCCTGCCCACTCCCTGACTTCTTCCTGGTGTCAGCACATGCGTGTTTATTGGTCCAGGTTTCCCCCACCTCAGGGAGGAGGGGCGTACATCTGTTGGCTCGCTAAGGGACACCCAGCGTCCGCAGCCACGACTGGCCCGCGGCAGTCCTGCAGTTGGCACACTGGATGGGTGCGGGTCTCCCTCAGAACCCCAAACCCCTCACTGCTGGTGAACAGGGTTGGTGCCGTGTGGAGGGCTGGAGTGGCTCCTTCCATGAAGTGCAGACACTGGTGGGGGGGTCCCCGGCCACATTCGGGGATTGGGGGCCATCGGTGGAGGCTGCCCAGTGGTATCCGGTGAGGCTGATGGCCCAGCGCTTTGTGGAAGAGCTGAGTCCCTCGTGTCTGCTGGAACCACATAAGACTGCTCTGGAAGCACTAAACGTGGAAATTGTTGTCCTCTGGGCAGGCGGGGCTCTGCCTTGTCTAAAGAGATCACAGAAGGGGCTGTCCTCATTCCTGAAGGCGGAGCTCAGCGGTCAGAACAGCAGCTGTGCGAGGCATTTCCTCCCAGTGTCCCACACCCTGGGGCCACTTCCGCCAAGGCAGGCGCCACCCCACAGTGGCTCTGGGACATAGAGCAGCACACCTAGAGAGCCAGGCGACCTTTCACCCACTTCCTGCACAAACAAGGCAGCAGAGACGGAGGAGTTGCAGAAACCCAGGTCACCTAACGCCCCAGGAGAGGCCGTCTGGCTTTCTTCTTTCTTCCTTCCTGTCCATGGGTACCAGGACATACAGACGTTCCTCTCGGGAACCCGCGCCAACCATTCCAGGCCTTGACGTGCATAACAGAACTGCAAGGTGAGGGTCTTAGCCTACAGCCACGCTCCTAATGAAAGTTCAGGGCTGGCAGAGCCTTTATGAGATTGTCTCTGAGAATGATCTCTGAGGACAAAGATCAGTCCATCGAGGAACCATTTGAAAGTAAAATTACACTGCATGGGGCTGCCCTGGAGCCCCTGGTCTCCTGGCCCAGGGGCCGGAAGCCCAGGGCTGGGAAGGCCCAGGTGTGCTGTTGGGGGCCAGGATGTTGCCATGGTAACATTGGTGGAGCCGGTACCATGTGCAGGTCGCCCAGCCAGGTGTGTGACAAAGGCCAACCCATCTCACACCCCACAGCCCTGTGACCCAGATACGGTGATTTTACCCACATTTTACACATGAAGAGACGAAATCACAGAGAGGCACAGCAAGTCCCAACCATGGCGGCACTTCAGAATCATCTGGTGTGTTCGTCAGGGCAGACCGCACGATGCTACGTAACAGATAAACCCCAGACTCTCAGGGGCTTAACCCAGGAAGGTTTCCTCTTGCTCATGGAAAACCTGGTGCGGAGTGGGGGACCCTGTCCAACTTGTAGTTATGACCCCAGAACAGGTGGGGTGCTGGGCGGAGCCGCTCGGCTGCAGCCTCCCCTCTTAACCAAAGGTCTTAACCAGAGGGCTCCTCGGGGCTGCGGGTTTGGATAAATAAGGAACTGAGGGGACTTCTGAATCACTCGAAGCAGAGTCTGTCAGCCTGGCAAAGCTGAACCCCATCCCCCACCGCTCATGCCCCCTGTGCCCGGAGCAAGTTGGTGCTGTCAAGTGGGGCCACCAGTGGTCCCCAGCTTGCCTTGCACTGGTGGGTATGTAGGGGTAAATGTCATCGTCCTTGTCATGTCGGTGGCTAATTGTTAATACGTGTAGCTCTATGGCATGCTGACAGTTTCTTGCCTTCCAGAAAAGTCTCTTCTCCCAGGATGATGCAATGCATACAAACAGAAACTCGTCGTTTGCCTGCCCCTTTAAAGGAAGACTCGATCTAATGGTCAAACCCATACCTTGAAATTGAAACTGATTTCACCCAATGAGGAATGTTTTCCTGAAGAAAACCTTCCAGATCGCTGAAGGAACCCAAAAGGACATATCCTCCCGAAGGGCCAGGCTGAGGCTGCGTTTGG